TTCAGTGTTTAAACCCTCAACTACATTTTTTTAAATTAAATTTTGTTTTTTCTATTTTGAAGGTAAAAATATAGCCAATTAATAATTTGGCGTTTTAAAGGCAAAATTTTAGCTAAGAAAAACCCATCATCAAGCCAATCTTAACGTAAAAATAATTTACTAATTAATTGCATTAATTTATTTAATGATTGAATTAAAAATGCAAGAATTATCGCTTCTATAATCTGTATTTCCCCTCCTCTCCTCCAAAAAAAAAACTTCCACCAAACGCTATTTTATCGGGTACCCTCTCTTATTTAGGTAACACACGAGTATGAGTTTCCCGCTAGAAGCAACATCTCTCTTATCTAGCAGTAGCTCCTATCCCCCAATACGTTTTTTAAGCTGTTGAATATGGGCAATTTAACACCTGGCTGAGCGGCCAGGCGCCAAGAGATGCCAGGGTTTTGTTTTTCAATTTGTATAAGCCAAAAACGTGTCGAGCAATTACTGCTGGTATTGTGCCTCCTAATTTGCCTGATTAACTGGAAAAATTAGTCGGGGTTTCGTTGCAAGGCAGAAGCCATTTTGGTCTGAATAATAATGCGATATGCTCTGTGGAGGAGTGGGGGAGGCTGTAGAAGATGGTCTGGGAGATGGGGGTGGGTGGTAAATAGCGTCAATGAAAACCATATCCACGCGTATAGCATTCACCAAACTAAATGTTACGCTGTCATGTATATAAGGCTAGTCACTATAACAATGTGTAGTTTCCGACCCAAGCATACAACAACAGGGATATATGATGGGTGAGAATATACAAGCTAAACATTCTTTTGTCAGTTTATTTTAAAACTTCTGTAACATTGTGTTTCGAGACAGTTTTGTCTGTTGTTTTTTTTTCTGCTCCACGACTTAGATGCTGCACACAATGGCCTTATAAAGTTTGACTACACGGTCTTTGGGACCGTATCTAGTCTTGGCTGTAGTTGTTGTCCACAGTTCAACTGGTGTCCGTTGATTTATTCGTGTTGAGTTGGTCTATACCGACTGGGTGTATTTGATGAAAATAAAATCACATACCCCGCCTGCCACTACGGACCCTAAAATTGTAATGCTGTTTCTTTATCAAAGCCAAATAGCGAGATATTTTTTTTTAATGTAACATGTCGTCTCCACCCCGTCCCTCCCTCCCATCTCTGTGCATTTCTTTCACCCTTGCGCCAGTCGAGTTGTCATTCATTTGGGCAGGCTTACAGCGGGCCAGGTGAATCCATCCACTTGATAAGTCTGACTAGGCTTCTTAAGATGGACAAATTCCGCTATTGTATAGGAGGCGCCAGACTTGAGTTATCGCTCGTTTGGGCCCCTGGGGCGACAGATTTCAAGCTATTGAAGCAGGAGGGGCGGGGGGCGCCAGGGCTTGACACAGACGACTTTGAACGCAACCAAAACAATAATTTCTTTTTAATTGTTCAGTCCCGGTGGTTTTTATTTCATTTTTTTTCTAAGTAGCTTTTTTTTTTTTAAATTATTTCTCTCTCTCCACTGGAGCGAAAGAAGGGAAGTGAACAAGATGTTAGAGGCATTGAAAAATTCTTTTTGCAGGCTGTTGTATGTAGTCCTTACGCTATGGGTATAGGATTGAATTAATTAATGATGTGTGTATATATATATATATATATATATATATATATATATATATATATATATATATATATATATATATATATATATATATATATATATATATGGGGATGGTCAATACAATTGTCCAGGGACCCACTAATGGAATATGTGCAGGACGGGTACTTCGAGTATTGTCTCCGAGCATTAGTTTATATCAACAGTTATCTGATGAGAATGGTAGCTGAGGGAATTGGTTCCAGTCGCTGGTACTATCCGATGGATGGACTTTGCGTGACTTTGCAACTCCTGCTTTTCAAAACTCGTCAATGGTTCGTCAATAGAAAACAACCCAAAATGTTTATACTGCTCTGTTTTAAGTCGTGGGTTTGCACGATTTTAGCTGGTGGCAATACACGGGGGAGGGGGGGGGGGATAATTTGACGAAAATACTTGTTGAACGTGGAGAATGTATATTGAAACAGAGCAACATAAGAAAAAAAAAGAGTGCACGAAGAGGCTATTGACGATGGTTGAATTCGCTTGGCTTGCCAACACTCCTCCCGGTCCCACCCTTCTATTCAGCTCTCCTCTCAGCCGATAGTCTTGAAAATCTTTCAAGTTTTTTCGATTGATATCGGATGTTATGAATGAGGGCCGGATGCCACGGTTCATGAAAATCACAATTCAGAGATTTGGTAGTGGGGGAGGGGGGTAAGAACCGAAGGGAAGAAAGAGTAGATTAATGATCCATATATTTCTTTCATCCTCCCTCCTACATATAACCAGGTCCACATACTGTCCGATGTTGTGAAAAATTATTTACATACTTAGGAAAAGGGCCTAATACAAATGGATTGTTGAGCACCGTAAAATCAGATTTATTTTAAAATGTTTAATGATCGTGTGTGATTAGCGTGTCGTAGTAATTGGAATGTTTAGATGACCACAAGTTTTCTTCACAGACTTTTAAACATACTTTTTTTTTCACTGTGGATTCTGATGAATAAGATATTTAAAAAATTCTTCATAGTTTATTATGATGAATGTGATATGCCTTTTTATTTTCAAAAAGTTTTTTTTTTTTTTAAATAGGTCTTTTTTTTATATTCTGAATTGATCCATTTTTATGTACTTTTATTTTAAATGGACAAGGGAGGTAAAAGGTAGGGTAGATTCGATAAAGGGAGAGAAGCGAGAAGATGGGTAGTATAGCTAGTATGTGTTTGATAAGGAGAAATGCCCGCGTGAAATGTCAGCTACCAGTGGTGCACAACCTGTCTGCCCCGTGTTATTTTCTTCCATAGCTTCTTCCCAGTTCACTTTTCCCCCCTCCATCCACCGCAGGGCCAATAACTCCCTCCAAAAAAAAAAATACTGTTTTAATAACCTACTTTCGTTTTTTCCAGACTGAGGGCGGTAATGGCTTTACCTGTGGTTGGTCAGTTGTTCACGTCGCGGGCAAACATGCCGGCTAGAGATGTTCATGTTCTCATCAATGGGTTATCTGTGTGCAAACATGCCACTGGTCTAGTTGGACGTGACCCTCTTGGCTGTCAGCCTCGTTATTCGGGTCCCCCTTATCGTTATTGCCTCGCTGTTTTGGTCCTTCCTATGGCTATAATAATGTGGATATTTTCAAACAACACCCATTACCAATAGCGTTATTTTGTTCAATGTCGTTATGTAGTTTACCGTACCTCCTGTAGCTTGAGTTGACCAATCCTCAGCTTCATATCGCTTCTACACATGTGAACATGTGAACACACCCCCCCCCCTCCTCCCCCTCCAATAAAGCCCCAGTCCCCGTATTGGCCACCGGGGTCAAAACGTGGATCCATTAAAGAGAGCCCCGCAAGTAAATAAGGTCAGATCTGACACTAAGTGACGTAACGGTACGCTATCAATGAGCGCTGATTAAAACAATTGGTCGGCCCTGCAGCGCCGACACCCGTTTGTAATTGCTCAGGACACAACAGGATGTGCCATAGAAATGGTGTGGGAGGGGGGGGGGGTGCGATCAGTTGTTGCTTTGCTTTCCGCCGAAGCTCTGATAACTTACACAATCTTGTTTACAAGATTAACTCCCCTTTTTTCTTTCACCATCATACAGGTTTAAACTAATCACCCTCCTATTTAAAAAAAAAAATTCTCAACATCTTCACATGCATATTATCTGCGGTGTGAGTTTCCTGTTCCCGTGGAAATATCTGCAGGAGTTTAGCCAGACTGTGTGTGTGTGTGTGTGTGTTCACACCTTGAAATATACACGGTTATTATTTTCACATACGGCATGCATGTGCACGCATACTGCTCACCCAGTAGCTCGAGGATCTGCGTTATTCTGGTGATGAGTGCAGTGTTATGCTCACATCCGTACAACCTATGTGCGCGCATGGTTAGTTATATATATATATATATATATATATATATATATATATATATATATATATATATATATATATATATATATATATTTACGTGTATGATGTATTTACGTGTATGATGTATGTATGCATACATTCCTGTGCAGGTGGAGTTTAGATCTTGTTCTATGTTTTACAAATGCATATTGAAGTTATTACTTGAAAAAAGAAACCCGCTGTAAAGTAGGGGTGGGGCACCCTCGCCCACACCGTGAAAGGATTTTTAAAAAACGAGTAGGCAGTGGGGAGAGAAGCAGCGCGGAGGAAATGATGTTTTTATACGAGGACGCCGAGATCATTAGTGAGTGCTTCGATGTTTTGAGAGTTTTGAGCTCGAGTGCCGATATCCAAACAGCTGTGAAGAATCTTCCAGCCGAGCTCTTTATGTCTTTGCCTCGTCTGACTCCCATCCTGCTCCTCTTTCTTTGAGGTGGCTCCCCGTATTTATAGACACGGGAGTCGGAAAGTTCGATTCTTAACGCCACTTATACTTGAACGATTTTGTTTGGCCAGTGTGGAGATAAATTAAAAGCTTAAAGAAATTTGATTTGAAAACAAATTTTTATTAAAGATCTTGAGTGATATAGTGAAGTTATTTTTTTAGTACTTTGCAATGATTAAAAAAAATTTCTTTAAGATTTTTTGGTGGTGGTGTGGTTTTTTTTTGGTGGTGGTGTGGATTTTTTAGTTGTGGGTGGCCAGATGGTCTGTGAAGGCAAACATCAGCCTGACCGCACTAACACACACACACACGTGCTGGTACTAACAGGCAGACTGACGAGTGTAAATCAACGTTCGGGGCGTGGGGAGAGTGGGGGGGGGGGGGGGGGTAAATAAGGCAACACCTGGGCAAATTAAAGGCGCTCGCTTATCGGTGAGCTAAATGGTTAAATCAGGTGCGTGGATCCCAGACTTGGTAAGTAGGTGTATCGCTGTCTCCTGGGGTATGGAATAAAGGGGGGGGGGGGACCCCGATGTTGGGTAGTAGTAGGGGTATCTATGTCTTGTGGGGGGGGGGGGGTGATGTGTCACGCGTATACACGTTTTATCATCTAAATATTTTTTAATATAATTTAGTCTCTCAACGTTTGCAGTGTGTAAAGAAACGAGTTGTATGTATGGCTTGGAGGTTTATACAAATACTCCCCCCCCCCCCTCCACTCTTTCTACTGTGGCTAGGAGGTTTATACAAATACCCCCACCCCCCTCTTTTTTCACTCCCCTACCCCCGCTTGTTTCAACTCTGTTATTAACAGATGATAGGGTAAGTGGCATCGATTCCATGGAGCGGCAGTGGAGAGGGAACACGAGAGGATGGGTAATGAACAGCGAGCCGTGCACGAGGAGATATCCTGCGCGAGTTTTAATTAATGGCTCAATCACGTAATGAAAGAATGGCGAAACGATGAGAGGTGATTTAACAGGGAGATGATGGGGCGTTTTAAAGGAGGAAAGTGAGGGGTGGGGGTAAGGGGTGGGAGGGGGGTGAGTTGAAAATAGATGCCGATGTGCGAGGTAAGCGAGACCAAACGTTTAGGGCGAGCGTGAACTTTCCTAGGCGTCTGTTTATTTACTCTAGGTGAGGAGGCCAGCCAGCGCACGTGTGTTGGGTGGAGGGGGAGGGGGGGATAAACAACGCCGGGAGCCGCCATTTCTGATACATGACATATTGAATGGTTTTCCTAGCTGAACTTTCTTGGTCAGCTTCAATTGGATCAGGCTTGTGTTCTGGTTTACTGAGATTTATGTATTACTGAGTCTAATCTGAACTTCTCACCCACCCCCCTTCCCACCCCCAAATAGACACCCCCACCCCCTCTCAATAGTTTCCTAGCTCAACGTTTTTGGTCAGCTTCAATTGGTTCAGGCTTGTGTTCTAGTTTTCTGTATTACTGAGTCCAATCTGAATTCCCCCCCCCCCCCCCAATTGAAAGTTTGAGGGGGGGGGGGGTGCAAATGAAAAGTTCGAGGGGGTGCAAATCGAAAGTTTGTCCCCGGGCGCCGGGAAGGGTCGCTACGCCTCTGCCCCTCACCCCCAATCCCCCAAATATACGTATATGTGTGTGTTACTGTGTCAAATCTGTACTCATCATCCCCCCTCAATATAGCCCCTCCTCCCCACTCCAGTATAACCCCCCCCCCCCCCAACCCAGTGAAGAGAGATATGTTTTATACTGACGTGAACTCTTGTTTGAATCCCCAGCTATCTGACAGGGAACCTGCTGACCGCCATCACGGAGAGCAACTTGGCCCACCTGACCTCGCTCAGCGTGCTGGTGCTGGACCACAACCTGATCGCCCGCATTGATGATGGGGCTTTTGGACAGCTGGCCGACCTGACCACGCTGTGAGTAGCACCCTTGTCACGTGACCCCCCAACTCTTACAACTGGTGTAGTGCAATTTTTCTAGTTGTCTCCCTTGGGGATTGTCACTGTTCTAATGGGGAAATTTTTGGATTTTTTTTTTTACGCACTATAGTAAACATAGCTAACTCTTCAAATCATTTTAAAAAGAAAACAAGTTTAGTACTATGGGTAGGATGGAGGTTCGTATAAGAATGTTGAAGTATGTATAAACACACACACACACACAGTGAAAAACACATAGGCCTACACGGTGATAAGGGTTTCTTTCATACTTTTTTCTCCGGGTGAGGGGCGAGCAGTGGTAAAAGTATATATTTTCTATATACATTCTATTTCGTTCCCTCCCCCTCCTGCCTAAAAGAAACATAGACGGTGATATAGACCCACACACGGTGGTACCGACACCTTGTGTTTCTCTTGTCCCGAGTCACCTGGGGGCGAGAGGTTCTATAGACCCAGGGGACGGGCGAGAGGTTCTATAGACCCAGGGGACGGGCGAGAGGTTGTATAGACCCAGGGGACGGGTGAGACAGCTCGCTTCGACCTCTAGCAGAACACCACCTGATATCGTTTGCTTTCCAACCGCGGCGTTTAATCCCACGTTAATCCATTTGCCTATCGGTGTGCAACTCTATACTCTTTGTTTTAACACGCGTCAAGGATCCTGTAGATTCACGAGAGGGTGAGGGAGGGGGGTAGGCTGGAAGACTTGAGTTAAATTTAACATGCAAACGACGTCACCTTTGAGGGAGAGAGGACACACGACAATACAGGAAGTGACATGAAGGGGGGAGGGGGGCGTTGTTAGGACCTGCCCTGTAGTCCAGGGAAGATTACTCTTGTTTGGCCAGCTTTGGGGAAACCGTGCCTCGCGAGGGGGGTCGGAAAATCACGATGGACTTTAGAGCGAACGGCTAGTGAAGTGTGAAAGGGACGTGAGGTTTTTTTTTTTTCTCTCTGTGTTGTTCGTTTCTTGCACAGCCAAGCAGGGGTTTATTATTTATCTGTTCAATTCGGCTTGCCCGTGTGATATTGTCGTGTAAATAACGCGAGGGGTTGGGGCGATGGCAGGGGAGGGATACACCTGTGTTTATCAACATCCGTGTTTAAATATTGGCTCGTGTAACACGTGCGGTAACGTCACCTAACACACAGGGGGAGTTCGGGAGGGGGGGGGGGGTGAAAACAGAATAGCATTTTTTGCTATCAACACATGCACACGGGTTTTATTGGTCAAACATTTGGCCGTTGGTCAATTAGCAACGTTTTCCCTAGTGGTCGAATGGTCACAGGTTACATCGTGGTCGGTCAGTTTGTGATTTTTACCCCTGGTGACCCAGTTGTAACTTGATTCCCCGCCGTAAATACCTTTACTTTTCCACCATCGATACCTTTATCTCACTATCACAGATACAGTTACCTCCCTACTGTAGATACCCATACCTCTCTACCACAGATACCCGTACATCCATACTGTAGATACCTTAACCTCCCTACTGTAGATACCTTAACCTCCCCACCATAGATACCTTAACCTCCCTACTGTAGATACCTTAACCTCCCTACTCTAGATACCTTAACCTCCCTACTATAGATACCTTAACCTCCCTACTGTAGATACCTTAACCTCCCTACCATAGATACCTTAACCTCCCCACCCTAGATACCTTAACCTCCCCACCCTAGATACCTTAACCTCCCCACCATAGATACCTTAACCTCCCCACCATAGATCCCTAAACCTCCCTACTTTAGATCCCTTAACCCCCCCCCTCCCAATGAGCTCAGCTACACAAATACCTGTGTCACCCCACCACTCCAGTTAACGAGTGACACCGCAGCCACCGGCGCCCGATACCTTCCCTACCACAGCACAACCCTATGTACACTTTTTCATTGACTTGCCAATTAAATGTTTCTAATACTTATAAAGTGGAGGACTTTTCGTTTGCTTTAGATAATTACTCCTTCTTTTAAAACGAGCTGAATTCTTCGGCCACCGAGCTAGTTAATTGAGTTTTGTACCACAGAATTTGATTTGACACATCGAGGTGTCATTGTTTACATACCAGTCTTGCCTGGATTCTAGTTTGGAAGTTTACAACACCCAACCCACACCCTACACAGTTTTGAACGTAGTCGGTCCTGTTAAGTCTGCGCGAGTGGATTATCTGGGTGTAAATCTGCCAATCTTCGCACGACTACTCGTGCGTGACCTGGGCCTCCACCATAAAACTTTGTATGGGTAAAGCCGCTTTTTCAACAAATTAAAAAAAACCAGAAATCTTTCTTAAATCTAAGTCATCTTGGGTATTCGTCCTCATCAAAATGATTAATGGGGTGCGGTATGATGCATTAAAATGTAGGCCCTTGTTAAAAGTGGGAGGGGGGGGGCACTTAAAGATCTGCTTGTTGGAGCTTATTGTTCGTCATCGACATCGACATTTTCCTTTTTGCTATTGTCGGCGTTGGAAGAATCCCGCGCGGTTTGATTTGACCAGATAACACATACGTCCATTTGATCGTGTTGCTGGTTAAAAAAAAAAGGGAGAAAGTCAGTACAAAGTAAACAGCGAGCCCCTTTTCTTTGTATTCGCTCTACCCGTTCACTGCCGGGGTAGGAGGCTAGTGTGTGTCACCCACATTCAAATGTGACCGGAGATTAGAGCGCTGATGACGACATTTTTTTTTATTGCTTTGAATAGTGCCTATGGTTAACCGTATGGAAGAATTGCTTCCCTTGGTTGTGGAGGGTGGGATAGACCACGGGTTGGAGGATGGTTAAAAAAAACATTTCGTGTGTGTCGATACTGATTAAAATGCGCGCATTCAAAAACGGTCACATCAGTTTTTCAAGATAACATGTAAATGTTTTTCAACGATTTACAGGTGGTTGTTGTGAGTTTCTTTCCCTGATGTATAGTTTAACTCTGTCGAGTTCTTACAATAAGTTCATCACGTGGCTATGTTCTAGCCAATCAAGAAGGGATAGATTTTTTTTCCTTCAAGAACGCCGTGTATAGCTATTGAGTGACATGATTTTAATACCCTTGTCCTTTCTTTATCTTTCTGCCCCAAGAGGGAAAGAGAGAGAGAAGAAAAAAAAAAAACCGGCAAAGCTGTAGAATTTTAAGACCATGCTGTCGCAAGCAAATAAGGACCCAAACACGAAGGTGTGAAACGCCGTTCTTTATCGCTGTTACCTCCCTTCCTTAACCCACCCACCTGCGTTATGTCCCCTTACGTAGACTTGTTTCAACAACCGCTCTTCCCTCCCTTCCCCCTGCCCCAGCTCAACACGTACGCTATGTTTAACGTGCACTCCACCCGTAACACACTTTACCGGCTATGGGCCAAGTAACTAACACTTGTTACTGTGGGCCAAGTAACTAACACTTGTTACTGTGGGCCAAGTAACTAACACTTGTTACTGTGGGCCAAGTAACTAACACTTGTTACTGTGGGCCAAGTAACTAACACTTGTTACTATGGACCAAGTAACTAACACTTGTTACTATGGGCCAAGTAACTAACACTTGTCACTATGGGCCAAGTAACTAACACTTGTTACTATGGGCCAAGTAACTAACACTTGTCACTATGGGCCAAGTAACTAACACTTGTCACTATGGGCCAAGTAACTAACACTTGTCACTATGGGCCAAGTAACTAACACTTGTCACTATGGGCCAAGTAACTAACACTTGTCACTCAAGTAACTAACTCTTGTTACTGTGGGCCAAGTAACTAACACTTGTTACTATGGGCCAAGTAACTAACACTTGTTACTATGGGCCAAGTCACTACCACTTGTTACTATGGGCCAAGTAACTAGCACTTGTCACTATGGGCCAAATAAAAAACACTGCCTATGGACCAAGTAACTATTACAGCCTACGGGCCCATCATTTCTCTGAAGAACTTTCTAAACCTGGATCTTTACTAGAACCTCCCTGACTGAGATCTTGGAAGAATTGACTGATTGTTTACCTAACGGTCTCGTGTCAAACGAGTGTATCTTACTCATTAGCATTTTGCCATCTTTAAATTAGCATTTAATGTGTGCACTGCAAACATGCCCGCGCCCCCTCCCACCCTCCAAGTAAGGGGCGTAACACGTGTTGCACAAAAAAATGTTGCGGTAACGTTGGAGGGATGTATTAAAGGGGCAACAAATGGAGGGTTTATGTATGCCACAAACCCGAGACACACCAGCTTGATGGCTCACCACAACCTTCAGTTTGTTGTTGGCTGTAGACCACACGGGGAGTCCACAGGTGGAGGCGCTCAAACACTCGGACTGACAACCACAGGGACGGACAACCACTCGGACTGGCAACCACAGGGACTGGCACCCACTCGGACTAACAACCACAGGGACGGACAACCACTCGGACGGTCAACCAGTAAGACAGCCAACCACTCGGCCTGTCCGCTGACTGATTTGGAGCGGGTTTATACTTTGATGTGAACCGTGCCTATGTTTACTGGGAGCCCACCCATGAGTTGATCAATTGTAAACGTGTCTTTAAATGCCGTCTGCGCCAACATTCGTCTTTAAATGTGAGGTTCAGGGAGATTGAATGCATGGGTATTTGCTGACGTGTATCTTGGTCTAGTCCTAACACACATGACAACACATCTATAGCATAGCCCTAGCACACATGACAACACATCTGCAGCACAGCCCTAGTACACATGACAACACATCTATAGCATAGCCCTAGTACACATGACAACACATCTATAGCATAGCCCTAGTACACATGACAACACATCTATAGCATAGCCCTAGTACACATGACAACACAGCCCTAGCACACATGACAACACATCTATAGCATAGCCCTAGTACACATGACAACACATCTATAGCATAGCCCTAGTACACATGACAACACATCTATAGCATAGCCCTAGTACACATGACAACACATCTATAGCATAGCCCTAGTACACATGACAACACATCTATAGCATAGCCCTAGCACACATGACAACACATCTATAGCATAGCCCTAGCACACATGACAACACATCTATAACACAGCCCTAGCACACATGACAACACATCTTTAGCATAGCCCTAGCACACATGACAACACATCTTTAGCATAGCCCTAGCACACATGACAACACATCTATAGCATAGCCCTAGTACACATGACAACACATCTTTAGCATAGCCCTAGCACACTTGACAACACATCTATAGTACAGCCCTAGCACACATGACAACACATCTATAGCACAGCCCTAACACACATGACAACACATCTATAGCATAGCCCTAGCACACTTGACAACACATCTATAGTACAGCCCTAGCACACATGACAACACATCTATAGTACAGCCCTAGCACACATGACAACACATCTATAGCACAGCCCTAACACACATGACAACACATCTATAGCATAGCCCTAGCACACTTGACAACACATCTATAGTACAGCCCTAGCACACATGACAACACATCTATAGTACAGCCCTAGCACACATGACAACACATCTATAGTACAGCCCTAGCACACATGACAACACATCTATAGTACAGCCCTAGCACACATGACAACACATCTATAGCATAGCCCTAGCACACTTGACAACACATCTATAGCATATCCCTAACACACATGACAACACATCTATAGCATAGCCCTAGCACACTTGACAACACATCTATAGCACAGCCCTAGCACACTTGACAACACATCTATGCCACAATTCCAGGTACCATTGTCTAGATTAGTCTCCCATCGCAACAGTTCCTTGTATAGCTCGTCTTTTGATCCAAGTTCCAGTACAAATGTTGGTAGACACTCCATCTGTTGGCCCAGTCAAACATTAGACTAATGAAACATTTGGGGTGGGACCACCCACAGATGCTGTAACGTAGTTGTACCTCGTATTGTATATCTAGTATTGAAGACCTTTTACCTGTTTCTCTGGTTAATCGTATTGTTTTATGTAGTCCATGTAAAGCTAGACCTCCCTGATAAACACAGTGTATCACATCATTGGATCTAGCCTGGGAGAACTAAGCAAAGACACACACACTCTAACAGACGGTCTTAACCGTTGGTCATACATTGTGTGTGTGTGTCTTGTCAGTTTAATTGGCGGTTTAACCGTTAGTCATACACTGCGTGTCTTGTCAGCATAATGGACGGTTTAACCGTTGGTCTTATAGTGTGTGTGTCTTGTCAGCTTAATGAACGGTTTAACCGTTAGCCTTACAGTGTGTGTGTGTGTCTTGTCATCTTAATGGACGGTTTAGCCGTGAAGCCGAAACTTTTGATACCGTCCGTCTTTAGCTCGACGCTTTCATCTTATCAGTCAACGCTATCATTAACGATGACTAGTTGGGGAACAGACGCCCAGGCACTGTGCAGGCAGCTAGGGAAATAAATAACAAATATACTAAACAGATGGACGGCAAGACGTGAATGGGCTTTCGTTTTTTTTTTAAAGGCTAACCCGGCAACCTGCATAACACATGTCACACGCGGGGAAGGGCTTAATTTGTTGGGGCTTGATTAATTCAAGATTTCTGGCTGGCTAAATTATGTTCTCCTTGATGCTCGTACCAACATGCACGGGGTAGCATGATTCAGCTACAGCATTTTCAGCTCTCGGCTGCTGGGTGGGGTGTGTGTGTTTCAATACTTACTCGCATATGCGGTTCATTTTCATTCATTATCACTATAGGTTGTATGTATGTATGTATGTATGTATGTATGTATGTATGTATGTATGTATGTATGTATGTATGTATGTATGTATGTATGTGTGTGTGTGTATATATATATATATATATATATATATATATATATGTGTGTGTATATATATATATATATATATATATATATATATATATATATATATATATATATATATATATATATATATATATATATATATATATATATATATATATATATTACACACTGCTGGCATTTGAGCAAGCCCCCTCACAAGTGTCCCCCAGGATGGAATGGGGCGTGTATTTTAGGAAACAATCGTGGAAAGAGTGGGTTAATTTGGAACCAAAAGGGCAATACAGAGACAGTGCAAAGGCAACCCGATCGATTCGTTTGGCTGTCGAAATGGAAGAGAATCTGGCTTTCATCTTCTCTCTATTTATTTAAACAGTGCATCTCTTGTGATTGCTCTCCCCTTGTCCCGATATCATTTTTCCCCCCATTTACTTATCTCACCTTGTGAAATTTGTTTCTGCCACTTACCGTTTTCTTCTCTACTAGCTGTAATCATGAGGAGGGGGGAGGGGTAGAGAGAAGTCTGAACATAAATAAAGATACTTCGGTAATTTTTAAATTGAGTATGTCAGGAAGAGAAGAAGAAGAAAAAAACGTTTTTCTTAATTAATCATTAGCATTGCAGATTTTAATTTTGTTTATAAAAATTAATTAAAAATAATGTAGCATCTGGACAGGTTTCAAAATAGAAAGAGAAGAAAAAAATGTTGAGATAAAACTTGATGAGTGGAATATAGATATAGCTAGATATGGGTGCTGGTGAGAGCATAACTGGCTAATGGAAAATAAAGCCCAGTCCAGATGGTAGGGTCTGGTGCTTGTTGCACTTCACTCCACCAGGATGTTATTATTTCTGGGGAATAAAAATTTGGGCGGCGCACCTGACCAGGTGTCAAGTTTTAGCTTGGTGCTCTGTAGAGGAGGGTTGGGGGATACAGCTTGATACCACTCTAATATGTACTCCATGTCCAGTCCACTTTAAAGCTAAAAGTTAATCTTTTAATATTTGCTTACAACATAAATAGCAGTAAATTCACTACAAGTACTTATCTTAGCTGAATGCTTTAAACTACCTAATTTTCTTGCATAAACGACTACTTTTTATAACAGGAAAATTGTTTCAAAAATTGGGTGTCTCCATATAGAGCTGGTATATCCAAAACTATCTTTTAACTGAAAAACCTGGGGGTCGACTTTATAACCAGGATATATAGTACTAATGTTTTTTACTAACCCTTACATGCACTCCCCCGACACCATTAGTTGTTTTAGTTGAAAACAGACACATTTACTGACTATCTCTAGCAACTGTGTCAATGAACATTTTATATTTGATCTCCAGAGAGATCAACTCCAACCAGCTGGGCTGGACCATGGTGGATGCCAAGATCTTCCGTGGGCTGACCAGCTTGACCAGACTGTCCCTCAAGTCCAACTCCATCCGTTCCATCGCCATGCAGGCCTTCTATGGGCTGACCAAGCTGCGCCAGCTGTACCTGGAGGACAACGACATCACCGCCATACAGGAGAACGCGTTTGAGCATCTGCGTGACCTCAGAGATTTGTGAGTCACACATGTTTTTCTTGATACAAGCACTTCATCATCTCAGTATGACTGACATTTTCCTTTAGTTTGTCACCATTATCTCAATACAACCATGTCACCTTTATGTCAATACAAATTTGTCACCATTATATCAATACAACCAGTGTGTCACCATTAACTTAATACAACCAGTGTGTCACCATTATCTCAATACAGCCATGTCACCTTTATGTCAACCAGTGTGTCACCATTAACTTAATGCAACCAGTGTGTCACCATTCTCTCAATACAACCAGTGTGTCACCATAATCTCAATACAACCTGTGTGTCACCATTCTCTCAATACAACCAGTGTGTCACCATAATCTCAATACAACCAGTGTGTCACCATAATCTCAATACAACCTGTATGTCACCATAATCTCAATACAACCAGTGTGTCACCATAAACTCAATACAACCTGTACGTCACCATTAACTCAATACAACCAACATGTCACCATTATCTCAATACAACCAACCTCCCCCTCCAGGCGTTTCAACTCTTCCAAGTTCTACTGTGACTGTGACCTCAAGTGGTTGAACCCGTGGCTCAAAATGACAGGTTTCCAGAACTCTGCTATAGGGACATGCCACCACCCCTCCACACTGAGGGATAGGCCTCTGGTCCTGGTTGATGCTGTAGACTTCAAGTGCAGTAAGTCACACTAGATATAACCTGCCTGTAGAATAGAGAACTCTTTCTAGCACAAGATGATAATCTAGGTCTACACTTCATACATTTAATAATTTTCTCATTTTCAAAAGCAAATATTTTATATCAGTAGATAAAACTTGTTCACAAGCATAAATAGTATTAAAGGGATCTTTGATTTACACACAAACAAAATCCCACTAGATTAAAGTCTGATTTTAACAAAAAAAAATTCCTTTGGATGAAAGTCTTATTCTAACAACAAAAAATTACACTAAAGTCTGATTCTACCAATGCTCCCGTCTATGCAGACAACACAGAGTTTCCCAAGCCTTACATCATAGAGAGTCCCCAGACAACCAATGCCTTTAAAGATGGTAACCTTACATTGACATGTCAGGCTGCAGTCACAGGGAACACACAGCCTAACATACAGTGGAAGAAAGACAACGTGGTAGGTAGCTCACTGTCACCACACAATATTAGAGAAGAATTATATATCTTTACACTTTAATGTCATTCCTCCTCACTTCCTTCAATCAATGCGTGTTTTGTTTGATCTGTGATCAGCTTCTAGACGAGACCTACTCCTTCATCACTGCCAGCAGTGACGGTGACACCAAGCGTTACACGTCGCACCTGGTCCTGCTGGACGTACAAGACAGCATGGCTGGACGCTATCACTGTGTTGTGTCTAATGAGTTTGGCATTGCCTCGTCCCAATGGGCCCAGATACAGGTGTATGGTAAGTCTCTCCTCTCCATGGTTTTGTGTTTATTCCTTTACTTGATAATAGCTATCCTTTTCTTTTGTCAAGTGAACTAGCATTGTGTTGAAAATGTGCATATATTATTCATATTTATATATAAGGTAAAATAAGAGTCACCATTTTAATCTTTGAACTATGAAAACATTTATACTAGTTGATCCACTTTGAGAAGTTAAATACAAGTTTATCCGTTTGAGAAGTTAAATACTGTTAGATCCAGTGAGCTAGCTGCTGTCAGTATCTTCCAGCCATGCACATCATTTAAGATAGAGAACTGTTTACTGCAAAAAAGTATAGAAAACTCTCTATCAACCAGCTAACAAACACCTTGTGTCCACAGTCTACCCTGTGTTTACACATCAATTTAGATAGAGAACTGTTTACAAAGTGTATGAAATACCAGCTAACAAACATCTTGTGTCCACAGTCTACCCTGTGTTTACACATCAGTTTAGATAGAGAACTGTTTACAAAGTGTATGAAATACCAGCTAACAAACATGTTGTGTCCACAGTCTACCCTGTGTTTACCCTCAAGCCTGAGGACGTGACGGTCAAGGCAGGGAAACCAGCTGAGCTCAAGTGTGCGGCCGCTGGTCAACCCACGCCAGAGATCTCCTGGCAGAAGGACGGTGGTGACAGCTTCCCTGCTGCCCGTGAGCGACGCATGCACGTTTACCCTAGTGACGACAGGTTCTACATCATGGCCACCAGTATAGCGGACGAGGGGGTCTACAGCTGTATGGCCAGAAATGAAGCAGGGGTCATCATCTCTAATGCCACTGTTACTGTTTTGGGTCAGTTTTATTGAATATTTTAAAAATAAAACTAAAATGTAATATTTTAAGACTAAACAACTAGTTATTTTAGTAAAGCCTGATAAGACATGTCATATCAAACTGAATGAAAAACCCTCACTTTGTATGACTACAGAAACACCAGACTTTGTCCAGCCCATGTTGAGTAAAAAGGCCACCAAGAAAGGGGAAACCACAGTGCTGCAGTGTATGGCCTCAGGGAACCCTCCCCCTAAGCTCACCTGGTTGAAGGATGATAAGGAACTTGTGGTGGGTACCCAACTACACTTGCTAGCTGATCTAGACAGACAGGATCTTGTCGGGATCATTTTTTGATGGTGTGGTCTTCTGTTGTATGATTACATGTTGTTTTTTTTTTTTTACAATTCCAGAGAACACCTCGCCATTTTGTGACAGTGGACAGTCAACTTTTGGTCATTGTTGATACCCAGTGGTCAGATGCAGGGATCTATGCATGCCGAATGTCCAACAGCTTAGGCACTGCTAAAGGAACAACTGAACTACAGGTACAACAACATGCTAGTCTTTGTAAACATTAGTAATGGTTAAATAACAAGATCTATAATTATTTCATTCATAGCAAGGTTTAAAGTTTCTAATGTTAAATATACTCCACTTGGCTACATGAAAATAGAGCAGAGGTTTCAAGCAGTTTGTAGCAGTTTAAAAACCATTTTCTCCACTCCACCCTCAGGTTTTGAGCCCATCTGGTGACGTCAGTGGCCCTGGTGGAAACACCTTTGGCCTGGATGACGAGTCAACCACCACGGGGATCATCATCATTGCCGTGGTGTGTTGTGTGGTGGGGACCTCACTCGTCTGGGTCATCATCATCTACCAGACCAGGAAACGACATGAGGGGTACAGCGCCACGCCCACAGGTACATACCATTTAGTTTCACTCTACTTCTTCAAGCTTCATCCAACCAAACATTTTTTTTTTTTTTACTTTTAATTTTAAAAGTTTCACTAGAGTAAATTCCTATTATGTGTTACTCTTGTTTTGAAATATGTTGATGACTAAGTTCCTAATTTTTGTGTTGATCTTTTAGAAGAGACCACCCTGCCTGGTGAGGTGCCCAGCTCTGGCTACATGTCCTCAGATAAAGAAGGCAGTTATTCACAAGGTCCTCTAACCATTGCTGGCTTCCATTATCAGAGTAAGATATTTACAGTTTGTTTGCCTCTACCTCCTCATTCAATAGTCTCTACAAGACAGAATAGTCTTACCTCCACCAGACATAGATAATTCCACTACCACAGACATAGATTAGTCTTAACCTCCCCACACAGGATCATCTTGACTACCCCATAAAATACAGTCTTAAGTACTCTAGACATAGCATTGTCTCAACTACTCCCAACATAGAATACTCAAGACAGTATCGTCTTACATCTATATAAATGATTGAAAAATTATATTTCCCTTGTAAACCAATGATTTCTGTTTTCTAGCAGGGGATTATCAAATGAAAGAGTCGGGCTATGAGTCATCATCTGGTCAATTCCGAGCCAACGGGTACAACCGTCCAGCTATTGTGCCCAGCGGTGTTGATGAAGATGACCACCATCCCCCTACAATGACAGCTGGTGACCGGCTGTTGTGTCAGTTAAAGCGAGGTAAGCAACAAGCACATTCACTGGTATTATGTTAATTATATCTAACCTACTTCTTGTGTCTGGTCAGGTTTTACAGTGGCCTTAAGTGTTTTTTCTCTTCCTCCCCAGCCAATTCAGTGTCCAGTCTCCAGTACGCTGCCAGTGATGGGGACACAATTGAAAGCAGACACAGCACCAGCAGTGGTCAGCACAGTGGAAGCAGTGACCCCCCCTCCAGCCATTCAGGCCACCAGAAGGTCCCAGCTAGCTACCACCAGCTGCATGTGGTCACTGACGAGTTCAAGAGAAATCCACCATCCCCGCCCCACTCCCCCGCCTCGGATGACCAGAGTGACCAGCATCACACGGGCTCCCCCGATGTGAGGTCCTTGTTTCAAACTTTTCACCCCACAAAGCCTACCAATCACAACAGGCTGTGTGGGTCCACCAGTGCGGTGCCGCAGCGCGAGGAGGGCGGAGACAGACATAGACTGTGTTGTGATTCTTGTGATAGTCGGGAGGTGGAGTCCTCGTCTTCTTTACTACGTCATCCCCACGTCGACGACTGCGCGGCTGTGGATAACAGCTCCGCATGTGGCCGTGCAGCCACGCAGCCTGAACCCCAGCATGTCTCGTCGTGCTGCCTGCGTGGTAAAGACAGTGAGGGCAGCAAGCGGAGACCAAACTGCTGTGGGGACCAAACAGGGAACAACTGCAGACACTGTGACAGCAAACACATGCCTTCTCACCCCTCATCTCATTCATCACTCACTCACCTCCCAGCAGAGATCCCTTGTAAATTGCATTGTAAATCTTGTGTAAATAGCAGCCAACATGCGCGCACCCTGTCAGACAGTCCTAGCTGCAGCCAGCACTTGGCTGTTTCTTCCTGTGATTGCTGCGACCCAGGGTCTTCTGTGCGAAGGACCAACACACCCCCCTACCCCTGCTGTTGCGAGGTGGTCAGGGACCCTTGTTACTGCCCCCACCAGCAGTGTGATAAAGAGGACAGTGCGTCTGTGTTTTGTTCAAATTGTGATAGCCACGCCCATTCTAACCACCATGTGTTACATCACAAGCCTCCGCAGCACCAGGGAGGACATGGGGGGCAGGCGGTGGGGGTCAACAGGCCACCGTGTGACCCTCGTCTTTGTTGTGGACCTACATTATCACCTGCACATTCTGGTAAGTCATAACAATCTGATTTCTGACATGGTTCTCAGTGTAAATTGTACATTTTCAGTAAAATGAGTCATTATAGTCAGTTAATTTAATAAACTTTTGTCTTGTACAGAGAGTAATAATTGTGGTTGTGAAAGTAAAGATGTAGCTGTACAGAGTTGTTCCTTTTCATGTAGCCATGTGTCCCATTCAAGTAAGTAAATTTCTTGACTAAATCATCTTGCAGATTAGTTGTCCCATAAATTCTATGAATTAATAGCGTTTAATCTTTTTTAGGCTCATAGAACTGCAGCTTCTGAAATATTTCATAATTAGTTTTTTTTAACTGTGTATTCAATTTTGTGTTTAATATATTATTAATCAGATGATTCATTATTATTTTTTGTCTTTAGAAGAGAAGAGAAATAATCCACATTCTGGAGATAAAGCTCACCAATCAAACAAAGGGAGAGCAGGCCAAAATCATAGTAGAGTATCCTCCCCTGTAAAATCATCCAATCATGTCCCTGCCAGCACCATTCCAGTCACAAGTTCTTCTTCCCACCCGCACCATCAAGGCAAAACCCCCAATGGGGAAACAGCTTAGACAATCAAGCCTCTTAATGAAATCATTTCTCTACAAATTTATTTGCATTATAGTTTATGTATACTTTATATTTGAGTCATTAGTCATGTTATACTTTTGTTATTCAGGAAACAATTTTAAATGATTAATTAGAAATATAATTTTTAGTGTGATTACAAATTCCCCTGATCAAATATTTTCTATATTTTGGCACAGAACTATTTTTCTTGAAAAAAAATGCTACAATTAGATTGTTCTATGTGTTTATTTACTAAGCCATTGTTACTATACTAGATTGTTCTATGTGTTTATTTACTGTTGTTTCATGCAAAGTTGACATACCATGTTAATGAAAAAATCTGTTGAGCACATTTAAAAAAAACAACTGATCTTGCTTTGTTTACAACCAATTGTGACCTTATTTTATATTGCCTTCTTTCTGTGGTCTTTCATTTGGGAGAATTATGATCAAATCAGCATGTTTATTCATTATGATGAATTTTGGGAGAATTAAGATCAAATCAGCATGTTGATTCATTATGATGAATTTTGGGAGAATTAAGATCAAGTCAGCATGTTGATTCATTATGATGAATTTTGGGAGAATTATGATCAAATCAGCATGTTCATTCATTATGATGAATTTGGGAAGAATTAAGATCAAATCATCCTGTTCATTCATTATGGCAAATTTAAGCTTTTTTTTTTTAAATTCTTTTAAACATAAATTTTTTGGGTTCAACTTTTCTTTGTTTCAAAGCAACTAATCATATCCAAGAGATGCTAGGTTGTGGACGTGCTTTAGGAAGTCCATTCTACTTAATCAGTTGTATCAAATGAGTTGTTTTGTATCTGTCTTCCATATTTTAAGTACTTACATTTACATTTTTTTTTTAAATCTAAAAAAATGGCAACATTTTGGTTGTAACTTTTTATACTGTTTAACTTATTTTTACTTGTTGTTTATTTGTAGAAACTTTTGTTTGTTTTTAAATTTACATATATTTATATTTCACCACAATTTACTAAGTTGTAATGAATTTTTACATTTCAATACAGTTCAGTGGGTTGTAATTGATATTTGTTTCAATACACTTAACTGGTTTGAAATAAATATTTATATTTCAATACAGTTAACTGGTTTGAAATAAATATTTATATTTCAATACAGTTAACTGGCTTGCAATAAATAGAGATCTGTTGGTAACTTGGAACAGTTAACAATATGTTGACCAAGTAAGGATTGCAAAGTTGTGACTACAATAAATTGATCTATTTGTTTAGATAAGTATCTTGCAATGACAGGAGTTGTAAGCTACTTCAGCTCATTGAGCGTGTTGCACTGAACTGATCTAATGGTCTTGGGCATCCATTGATTAAATACCTCAGTACCCTCTTTATATCACGTGTCACTTCACGGCTGTCATCAAAATATTTTGTTTCAGCATATCTTTACATCCAATTTTTTTTATCCACCAGTGTTTTGGTTCATTGCTAGGCATAATAGGTTTGGTTGGATAATAATGATTGGTCATTTTGGTGATTGATTGTTAGAATAAAAGTGATGGATCGGTTGATTGAATAAAAAGTGGTTGGTTGTTTGATTGTTTGAATAAAATGTGGTTGGTTGCTTGAAGGATTGAATAAAACATGATTGGTTGTTTGAATAAAAAGTGATTGGTTGTTTATTTTGTTATCCATTGCTGGATGACTTTGGTGTGCTAACACTACTCATTGTTTACGGGTTTCCACGGATGTTTGTATAAACTGCTGTAAGAATGTAAATATATGTCATCTGTATATGTAGGAAGAGAACAAATATTATTTTTTTCATGCCATAAGATTTTCATTTGTAAGATTTGAATCAATGCAACATTGAAGGATCAACTGTTTATACACATCACAAGTTGAGTCATGCAGCAAAATAATTAAGCATAAATTATTTCAATTTTTTTTTTAAATCTTTTTTTTTTTTTTTTTTTTTTGCTTTACCATCTGTTTTTCTATTTGTTGATCATAGAAATCCTATCCACTTTATCATGTTTTATTTTCAAGACATTTCTGTGTCTGTTTCTCTCTAAGAAATCCCTTTGTTATAATGAGCACTTACCTCACAATAATGTTAGACTTCAATTGTGCTGGGTGTTCCATAATTGATAAGAATAATATGTACTCTATTCATTAGAAATACTTTAGAATTATGTAAGTTATTTTAAAATTATTAACATGAAAAGTATGTACTGAAATCTAAAACAGTGCATTCAAGGAAAAATTATCAGGCATTATCACATTATTTACATAATTATATAGCCACGTTTTTTGTGATCTTAGTGAACATAATTTTCAAAATGAAATTTATCTTCAGTTTACGTGGAAAACTTTTCCTTGAAATGTGAACTTCGATATACCTGGTTGTGATGAATTAGTTATATGAATTGTCAAGAGAAAAGTAATGTATATATATAACATTAGGCTTGAAGAGTGTCATGCTGACATAGATCTACACCAGGTGTTCTGGTGCAGAGGTTTTCTATGGTTATTTATTTTTCCTTTTGTTATTCCCTTTTGTACATTTCTCAGTTGATTAAATATGTGAATAATGTTTGATGATAAAAGAAATAATTTATATTGAACTTTTTTTCGTATTGCTGATGTCAATATGTTCAATTTTTTTTTCTTACTGTAGTCGATCTACCCATTTTTAAAAAAAAAGAAAAATAATAAAATCTAAAAATTGAACAATTTGTTTATCCATTTTTGTTCTTTGTGTATTATGTAACCGGTTCGTCCTTGTGTAGACAATCAGCAAGTAAGAAGTAAGCATAGAAAGAAAGTGTGGTTGTGTAGGACACATCATCAGAAAGTTTGGTTGTGTAGGACACATCTGAAATGCAGATAGTAACAGCGTTAGTCAGGTGCTAAAGTGGACATCACCAGGAAAGGAAACCAAAACTGTCATGAAGATCTTTTAAGAGATAAGTGGGGAGCCTGGGTTGCCATGGATAAGAATTTTAAATCAGTTTGATAGTTTTTGTTCTATTCTCCACTGGAAGCCAAAAACAAGCATATATCATGGTTGTTGTTTGTTTGTTTTTTTAATTTGTGGATATATTTGATAAATAATACTGAAATGCATTATGTATGAGGTTAATACTCAAGGTATTTCTAAGTATGCAAACAAGGTGGTACATTTTTTATATTTGTCAGGTTTCTGTTATGGTGGCCATGTTAGTTTTTCAGCAACAGCTGAGTTATGTACTGTCCGTTTCTGACCTACACGTCCTTGGGTATCACATTACACACCCCATGTCACATTACACACCCCATGTCACATTACACACCCCATGTCACATTACACACCCCATGTCACATTACACACCCATTGTCACATTACACACCCCATGTCACATTACACACCCCATGTCACATTATACACCCCATGTCACATTACACACCCATTGTCACATTACACACCCCATGTCACATTACACACCCCATGTCACATTACACACCCCATTGTCACATGACACACCCCATGTCACATTACACACCCCATGTCACATTACACACCCCATTGTCACATGACACACCCCATGTCACATGACACACCCCATGTCACATGACACACCCCATGTCACATGACACACCCCATGTCACATGACACACCCCATGTCACATGACACACCCATTGTCACATTACACACCCCATGTCACATTACACACCCCATGTCACATTACACACTCCATGTCACATTACACACCCCATGTCACATTACACACCCCATGTCACATTACACACCCCATGTCACATTACACACCCCATGTCACATGACACCCCATGTCACATTACACACCCCATGTCACATTACACACCCGTTGTCACATGACACACCCATTGTCACATTACACACCCATTGTCACATTACACACCCCATGTCACATGACACAACCCATGTCACATGACACACCCCATGTCACATGACACACCCCATGTCACATTACACACCCATTGTCACATTACACACCCCATGTTACATTACACACCCATTGTCACATTACACACCCCATGTTACATTACACACCCCATGTCACATTACACACCCATTGTCACATTACACACCCCATGTCACATTACACACCTATTGTCACATTACACACCCCATGTCACATGACACACCCATTGTCACATTACACACCCCATGTCACATTACACACCCCATGTCACATTGCACACTCCATGTCACATTACACACCCCATGTCACATTACACACCCCATGTCACATGACACACCCATTGTCACATTACACACCCCATGTCACATTACACACCCCATGTCACATTACACACTCCATGTCACATTACACACCCCATGTCACATTACACACCCCATGTCACATTACACACCCCATGTCACATTACATACCCCATGTCACATTACACACCCCATGTCACATTACACACCCCATGTCACATTACACACCCATTGTCACATGACACACCCCATGTCACATGACACACCCCATGTCACATGACACACCCCATGTCACATTACACACCCCATGTCACATTACACACCCCATGTCACATTACACACCCCATGTCACATTACACACCCCATGTCACATGACACAACCCATTGTCACATTACACACGCCATGTCACATTACACACCCCATGTCACATTACACACCCCATGTCACATGACACACCCCATGTCACATTACACACCCGTTGTTACATTACACACCCCATGTCACATTACACACCCCATGTCACATTACATACCCCATGTCACATTACACACCCCATGTCACATGACACACCCCATGTCACATTACACACCCATTGTCACATTACACACCCCAGCAGTATGATGAAGGCCATGTGTCTGCTGGTCCCATTGCCATCACTGTAAGCCAACTATGTGACTGCCATATCTTTTAGTTCATGGAGTAAGAGTACAAGTTAAACCAGTATAAAATACTAAGGGCCGCAACTGTTGTTTCGCATTAGCTACAGTGTCAACTTGTTTTCAAAAATGGTAAGATTTGATTTCTGTATTTCAGTACAGATTGGTTGGATAAAAATGTTAGTAATGTTGGCAATTCTTCTACGGTTAAACTGCCCTAACAAGACCTGGACTACATTTAATTTTTACCAGATTTTTCTTAGGTTACTATGTGTGGACATCTGCCTATTGACTTGGCTTGTGGTCACATTTAGCATCTCAGTATTTACCTTTTTCTGATGCAACAATCTCTTTTAAACTTCCCAGCAGTCAATTTTGATAACAATGCAAGATAATCTCATTTTCATCGAATTGAATATTAAATTACTCAATAAAAATTTAAGGATCACTATACTTTTAAATAACAAAAGGGGAGATAACAAAATTAAATAGTAAGCATTGATCAGTTAGAAGATATGGTGTGCACTGATTTTATGAGAGCGGATCAATTGTTATTTGGAGTTAACATCACAAAGCAAACATTTTGGCTTAATTAATTAAAAATTAACAAAAAGGAAAGAATAAATAGTGTAGGCTACTATACATGTTTTAAAAACCTAAATTCATCTTACCTTTTTTTTATCTTTAGTTTATTAAAAAAAACTATTAAAATGTATTGATGTGATACGTTTTACTGGTATAGAGTTTTTTGCATATCTCGACGTTTTACACCTCACTGATACGGAAAAACATAATTCTGCAATCTTGCCTGTGTGTGTGTGTGTGTAAACACGATAACTTGAGTACCGTTACAGCTAGGTTGATGAAATTTCATATATAAGTATATTATCAAAATCGTAGATCCTGATCAACTTTTGAGGGATTTCCGATAACCGGAAGTGGTATTTTTTCGACTTTGAATTTTTCAAAAGCCTATAACTTGAGTACTATTTCAGATAGATAAATGAAATTTCACATGTAAGTAAAAGATCTAATTCTCTACCTTCTGTCAAATTTTGAGTAATTTCCATTGACCGGAAGTACTAATTTACGCTATTTCCGATTTCTCAAAAAACGCATGTAAATTTATAAAGTACTAATAATATCCCGCACTATTATGCACATTTTATTAGGCGTTCACTTGGTGTGCAATTCTTTTTTTTTACGAGATTCTATTCTATTATAAAAAGTTTAAGTAATTAAAAATGGATTACAAATATTGTCTATATCCTGAGTTGCCATCCCTCCTAGTTGTATATTAGAATATTTGAGAAAGTTTAGGGGAGATCACTCCCGGTTTATTTTATTAATAAACAAATTACTATTTTTATTGTTCATAATATGAATTTTATATGACAATATTAAAAAATAAGTACTTAAGCTTAAACATACAAAAAAAAATACATTTAAAATCAAATATATTTATTTTCATAGTTTTTGACCAATATGAACTATTGCTTTAAAAGAAATAGATTGTTGTTGTACAACCCTCAAGAAGTTACTTTATATTTTCTGACCAAATAATGGAGTACTAATGTTGCCAAATCTAGGAGAGAAAAATCATAAGGATGTAAAAATAGGTTAGTGTCCCCTTGATATTATTTGGTCATCTTACATGTTGTGTAACTTTTATTTCTATTACAAACATTCTTAATTCTTCATACTAAACATGCATTAAATCATTCAAACAATTTAAGAAAAAATGTGTAATATATGTTCTGTTCTTTATAATGACATGCATCACAAGCTTACAAAGAAGTTATTTTTATTTAATTAATATTTACAATTAAAGTTTCACAGAAATGTTTTAGTTTTAAACTTTATTTTAGATCAGATGGAAGAATGTATTGCCATCAAGAACACAATTAAAAAGTGTCAACTTATAAAACTATACGCCAGGATTTTGGGCAAGGTTGACAGGAAGAAACAGTTGTAAACAGCTAAAATCCACTTGCCAGTTAGTAATGCTAGAAAATGTATCAAAATATTTTTGAGTTCTGGAATGTACACTCAGTTTGTTTTAAAATATAGCAACAAAAACAGCTGAAAGTAAAGTGGTTAATTTTTACAAACACTTAAACAACAAATTTTAACTAGTGTAAAAATATCACAGGAAATGAGAAAGAAAAATTTGTTGATTTGTTTTGGCTTATTTGAACATGATATTAATGATAATATCAAAAAAGTTTTAAATTCATATATTTTTAAAAATATGTTTGGCAATTTTGTATAACTTTAAAAAAAATATAATTTTAAAAACATTTTTTGCTAATGAAATATTGCTTCATTAATTTATAAAGAAAAACAGTTTACATTGAAACACTTTAAATTTCAATGTGTTTTGGTATTACTTGTGTATATTTATTGCTTCAGTTATAAAGAAAAACAGTTTACATTAACATTCCTTAAATTTCAATGGGTTTTGGTATTACTTGGGTATATTTATTGCTTCAGTTATAAAGAAAAACAGTTTTACATTAACATTCCTTAAATTTCACTGTGTTTTGGTATTACTTGGGTATATTTATTGCTTCAGTTATAAAGAAAAACAGTTTTACATTAACATTCCTTAAATTTCACTGTGTTTTGGTATTACTTGGGTATATTTATTGCTTCAATTATAAAGAAGAACAGTTTTACATTAACATTCCTTAAATTTCAATGGGTTTTGGAACAGGTTTCCTTATGTGTCGCATGGTTGAACCTGCCTCTGTGGGTTTAAATGGAGCATTTGAGCCATAAGGTCGGGGGATTGGCAGTTCTGTTTCATCCTCTGGAATATAAGCATTTGGGCGGGGCTCGGCTGTTGTGTACATGCCCCCAGTTAACCTGTATTGTTCTTCTTCTTGCTCCATCTGAAAGATAATATTTTCTTGTCAAGTAGAGGCTAAATTATTTTTAAAATATTTCACGATTTCTTGAAATATAAATTATTAAAGATTAACGTATAATGAAATTAAATTCTTATTGTTAATAAATACTTTTAATTTCTAATTACTATTACTAATAATTCAAAACAAAAGTTAATTGATAAAAAAAGGTTATTTGATTCAATATGGGTTACTACAAAAAAGTAAAAATTATAGGCATTTTTGACTACTTATAATTTAAAAATTAGAAAATCCCCATATTGAAGAAAGTTCTTTAATTCAACACTGTGAAAACATTTCAGTTTATATTTTAAATTACATAATTTATTTAGTCTACAAACTTTAAATTTAAAAATTGTGACTAATCATTAAAATTTTACTTAATTAAGTGTTTGGTAACCTAAACAATTTGAGACCTAGCAATCCATTGGGCAAATAAAGTCGAGCTTACATATTTCTTGACCTCCCCTTTTGAAGGGATGGTGTGGTTAGCACTATGTCCAGCCGCCTTTACTTTCCCTAATGTAAATCAGTTACCCAATACAGCTGGGTGGACTCAGTGACGTCCTACAGTCACAAATCCGAACCAAGATCCGAACTCAAGACCTTCAGGCTAGCAGCCAAACGCTCTACCATTTGACCACGTTATTACACTACTAATATTAAGAAAGAGTGAATTTGTTTACCAGTCTCCTCGCTTCTCCCTCCTGGATCCTCCTCTCAATATCCCTCAACGCTCTCTCCCACTCGATCTCAAACTCTGACAGAGGCGCCTCCCCTTTCTCCATCCTCATGTAGCAGTGCTCCAGCAGAGCCTCTTTCTCTTTGACTTCCTGCTGCAGCTTCATGGCCAGAGCCTGGTTCATAGAGAGCTCAGACACCAGGGCCATCATCTTGCGCGTCGTCTCTTTGATTTTGGTTTGAATGCTGTTTACCTGCTCAAGCAAAATTGGTGAAATTTTAACAAAAAATGTATCAAATATTGATCAAAAATGTGGTAAAATGTGATGAAAATGTTGATAAAAAATTTTTTTTGAAAAGATGATGAAAATTTGATGAATATTTGATGAAAATCTAAAACTATGACAGATGTATGAAGTGTAATAGAAACACAAATCCTGGATAGAAGATGGTGATGAATTTGTCTTATGCACTGAAGATACTGACACATTGTCAGACAGGCCTTGATATGGAACCCCCAGGGGAAATGACAAAGAGGACGATACCAGAATACTGGCATATGGGGGGATGGGGAACGGGGGGGGGGGACTGAAGAAATAGGACAGAGCTGATAAAAGCTGATGATAAGAGTAACAAGAGATGAAGGAAGCAAAAAAAAAAAGAATGACGATGCCGATGAGATGAAAATTGTATGTTGTTTAAAAAAAAAACCTCTAAGACAAGAAATAATGATTTGTATAAAACCAATAAAAGACCTTCAGTGAAAGTTTGCAAGTATATCAAATGATGACATAGGAAAAAGAAAAATGTGTAAACACTTGCAAAGAAACTAAAAAAAAGTAGACTGAACTGACATCACACATTGAGGAAAGACCAAATGTTTGGTTATACAAAAATTTAAGAAAAGGCTTAATCAGCCATAAATTTAAACCTAATTTAACTTAAGTTATTAGAAAAATCTAGACTAAACTTTAAATTTGTGATGATACCAAATGTATGCATTAAAAGCAAAAAAAGACTGAAATCACACACAACTATTAGGAAAATATCAAACATTTATTTAACATATGATAAGAACCAAAATCATGCCTAACCTTTAAGAAAAGAATGAGGTAAAGTACCAAAAAGACCAAAAAAGTAACAACAAAACCAAACAATTGAGAAAAGACCAAACTTACGCTTTTGGCCAAGTTTAACGTGTCGTCCTTCCCAACCTTAGCCTTGTTGCCAGTCCGAGCCACCAGCCTCTCAACTTGTTCAAAAATTAAATCTTTCTCCAGCAGACGTTCCTCTTTCTCCGCCAACCTAGACTCCAGCTGTTACACATCATAAACAAAGAAAAAATTGTAAATGTCATCTTACGATAAATTGTAAATGTCATCTCACAAAAAATTGTAAATGTCATCTCACAAAAAATTGTAAATGTCATCTCACAAAAAAATTGTAAATGTCATCTCACAAAAAATTGTAAATGTCATCTCACAAAAAATTGTAAATGTCATCTCACTCAACTTACAGAATTTTTTTTTGTATTTAGTATCTTTTGTTTTAAAACTACATTATTTTTTTTACCCTTTGGTTATTATTTATATAAAATAGCAAAATATTAAAAAAATTGTTTAAAACATTTAAAAAATGAATGACCAACATAAATGTTGATACAAAGTGTGGTCAGACCTCCTCCACTTTGTTGTGTATTTCACCAGGCGTCGGATCCTTCCCTGTCAGGTACCTCACCCTGCTCTCATCGTACGGGTTCTCTAAAGCTTTTTCCAGCTCCACCATCCTGTCTTGGCACTGTTGGAGCTGAATTGTTCAAATAAATTTTAAAAAAATCACACATCCAATCCAAGATTTTTTTAAAATAAAAAAAAACTGCATCTAATGTACGGGATTGGACGGTACAGGACATGACTGGTAACACAAAAGTCCCATGTTAAGATCCCAGACATAAGTCTATAAGATGTCCCTGTGTCCACCCAGGTCTGATGGGTAACTGACTTATATTAGGGAAAAGCAGCCATAGAATTGCTCAGACTACACTTTTATATTCTGTCGTCACAACAGATGAACTCTACATCACCTGCCCTATTTATTGTCAGGTCTAAAATGTTAACTTACTTGACTAGTATAAATGACCATTACATTATTAATATACTACAAATTTAATTAATTTTTGTATTTTCTATACCACCTGTATTAAGACATAAAATCTAATAGTTTAGTAAAAAAATAAAATACAAATAAATGCACAACGATATATTTCTACAACAAGTTTAGTGTAGTTTTAATGTAATTATAGTCCTACTTGTATCTGTAACATTTTAATGTGAAAAATTGTCCTACTTGTCTCTGTAATGTTTTAATGTGAAAAATTGTCCTACTTGTATTTGTAAGGTAACCAGCTCTTTCTCTTGGTTCAGTTTCCCAGGCACAGCTTTATGTAACAAGTGACTTGACCTCTTCATCTCCTGCTGTTGTAGCTCTAAGAACCTGATCTCCTCCTCCAGACTTTTGAGCTCCACCTCGCCATTTCTTATCATTTGGTCTAGACACATTTTAAATTTTATAGTTTTTTTAAAACTGATGTGAAAACTTAGCTCCACCTCACCATTTCTTATCATTTGGTCTAGACAAAAACATTAAATTTATAGTTTTTTAAAACTGATGTGAAAACTTAGCTCCACCTCACCATTTCTTATCATTTGATCTGAACACAAACATATTAAATTTTATAGTTTTATAAAAATCATGTGAAAACTTAGCTCCACCTCGCCATTTCTTATCATTTGGTCTAGACACAAACATTTTAAATTTATAGTTTTATAAAACTCATGTGAAAACTTAGCTCCACCTCTCCATTTCTTATCATTTGGTCTAGACACATTTTAAATTTTATAGTGTTTTAAAACTGATGTGAAATCTTAGCTCCACCTCACCATTTCTTATCATTTGATCTAGACACATTTTAAATTTTATAGTTTTTTTAAAACTGATGTGAAAACTTAGCTCCACCTCGCCATTTCTTATCATTTGATCTAGACACAAACATTAAATTTTATAGTTTTTAAAACTGATGTGAAAACTTAGCTCCACCTCGCCATTTCTTATCATTTGGTCTGAACACAAACATATTAAATTTTATAGTTTGTTAAAACTGATGTGAAAACTTAGCTCCACCTCGCCATTTCTTATCATTTGATCTGAACACAAACATTAAATTTTATAGTTTTTTAAAACTGATGTGAAAACTTAGCTCCACCTCGCCATTTCTTATCATTTGATCTAGACACATTTTAAAATTATAGTTTTATAAAACTGATGTGAAAACAAATTATATTTTAAAAATTTGAATTTTTGTTTTAAGGGGAAAAAAGGTTTCACCTTGAATATTGACTCTCTCATAGAACACACAGACCTCTTCATTTCTTTCAATTAATTTGATGCCCCTGCAATCATAAAGGTTAAAATGTTAAAAAAAATTTTTAAATCATTGGCAATTTATAGATAAATGAGCACCAAACTTCAAAGCCTGTGGGAAGACAGGCATAAAAAAGAAAAACAAATGTTTAAATTCCAAAAATTATTTTATTGTATGTTCATCATAATTCTTGATTTCCTAATGTGTTTGGTATTTCTTTGGTTGCTTCCCTTTTTCCTAACTCTGTTACTCACAGATTAACTTGACAATTTATGAAATAAAATAATATAAACATTAAATTTGAACTAAACTTTACCTTAAAAAAATGCATTTTTTAAAAACACATCATATTAAACTGATTAATCTCCCTTGCATCTATATTTAACAACATAACAAAATCAGAGTTGTCTAACCTGTCATTCCTGTGCTGTACATTTCTCTCATATCTTTTCCTCAGCTTGATCATCTGTTCCTCCCCTTGATTGATCATCACATTCAGCTTGGCCATGTCTGTCCTCTGTTGATCCCTCTTCTCCTTCAGCTCTTCCTCCAGCTGCCTCTGCTTGGCCACCTCATTCCTGAGGGAGTCTCTCATCACAATTGCATTCATCCGTTTTAGTCTTTGTTTTTGTAGATCTCTGGTAAAAGCAAATTTAATAAATAAATGTAAATAAATAAAACAGGTGCCCTGATATAATATACATTTAATGTTTATAAATAAACAATATTTTTTAAAATCTGTATACTACACATAAAATAATATGGCTCCTTAGTCTAATTACACTATTGGATGATTGTGGGTTTGAACTCTGGACTTTCATGTTAGCAGCCATGTGCTCACCTGCCTGACTACTCCAACCACTAGACAACCTAGATTGTAAAGGCCTAAAATATTCAAGCATTTCAACCGTAGCTCAAATTATATAACACCCTAGGCAGTATTCCTATCTGATGTTTCAAAATTATTCAACTTAATAAGTAGCTAATTTCCAAAAAAAAAAATTTGCTCAGCTTCCGAAACATTTTGCTCAATGTAGACAAGCTGAGTACAGTGAGGACATTTGTTAAAGAGTAATCAGAGCTGGGACGGAGTGGTCTAGCAGTAAGTCTCGAGTTCAAATCCAGGTTCAAGTCAGTAGACCGTCCCTGATGGTTACCTAGCTCAAGTTTGGGAAAGTAATGGCGGCTGGGCATAGTGCTGACCACACTATCTCTTCAAATGCCGAGGTCACAGAAACAAGTGAACTCTACTTCACTTGCCCTATAGACCATCAGGTTTGAAAAGCGAACTTTACTTTTTTAATCAGAGCTGAGTTTAGAACAAAAGCTTATCACAAAGACAGTTTACATTTGTTAATGAGTAATCAGAGCTGAGTTTAGACAAAAGCTTATCACAAAGACAGTTAAACATGTACTTGTCTTTCAGCATGACAGCTGTGCGTAAAATCTCAATCTCGTTGTTTAATATTTTAATTTTCTCCTTCATCTCTGCCGCCTTCTGTGTGGAGGTCTGTATCAGGTTCACACACTTGTTCCTCTCATTCTTTATTATGTCGTACAGTTGGGCAAACTCTTTCAGCCTAAAATACAGGAAAATTTCTTGCCCAACAAAATCTTCAAGTCCATAAAAATAAATCAATAGGAGAACCATTCAGGAGAAATTAAACTTGCAGAATTTCATAAATTAAAATAGAATGCAAGAAATGTTTTTCTAGCATCATGAACACCCCAACACGTCTGTGACCTACTTGATTTGCATCTCCTGGTATTTTTTCTGATGATCCTGTATCTGCAGCTGTTTGGTCTTTAAGTCCTCGACTGCCCTGTGATATTTGGTCTCAGCTTTCATGAAATCTCTGGCCTTCTGTTCCCTTTCATCTGCCTAGTTTTTTAAAAGATAAACTTAATTTTTAAAAACCACACAAAATCACTACAGTAAAATAGAGTAGGTTTGTGACTATAGCCACTTGCCACAAAGTATGTAGATTGCATGCTACTCATTATGGTTTAGAAATTGCAATAAATATAATAATTTTAATTTCTTCTAGAATTTACCTTAATAGCAGCCAACCTGGTCAGTTCGACCACTTCAATCCTCAAATCACTTTGACAGTATAAATAGTTCTGTTCTTCCTGAGCGCTGGCTTCTAATTTGACATGTTCAACAGCAGTTAGTGAGTTCTGGTGAGTGAAGAAACATGCCAATGTTTGGACCACTGCATTATTTTGTGTTCAATGTGCTATGTGAATTAAACTATTTTACTCTGTGATACAGAGACAGCTTTGAAAAGATTGTGTAATGTATTTAATAAGATTATTGAGGAACAGCTTTGATTTGTTTATTGTGGGGTAGAACTGATAAGTTTATTATGTAGGTTGGGTTTCTTCTTCTTCTTCTTCGTTCTTAATTATTAGTGTTGAAGGGGATCGAGATTTATCTGCCAGTAGGTTTGAACTCGAGACTTTGTTCGAATTTATCAACCATGAGCTTTTAGCCGACTCGACCACGCCTCCAACACAATTAAGCGTTACGTGTCAACTAGTTATGCGCCATTGAGGCCATTGACTCCGATTTCAGCCTGCTTTTCTTTTTGGATTTGCTTCCATAGCCTTTGTCCAACCAAGAACAAGGTTGGGTTTAATTAAATTATTTTAAGATAGAATTTTAAAAATTACTATGTGATTGTGGTAGGATGGGGTGTAGTAAAATTATTTTGGGATGGAATTTAAAAAATTATAATGTGATCACTTTTTGTTACCTGTTGTGCAAGTGCTCTCTTAGCCTGCTCAACATCCTTCTCTAGCTCAGCTTTAGTCTTAGAGTAAGACCCGTCGTCTTTAGGTAAACTGTTCACCTGAGGAATAAATTATAAGCATGTTGTTAAACATGTTTTTCCATTTGAAATACTTCATCACAATGATAAATACTCTGCCTACTTATGATGATAACATAGAAACCTGTGAGTTGACTTTCTCAAAGATTGACTTGGTGTGATTGAGACTCTCCTCTGCCACCTTCAGCTGCAGCTCAGCCTTCTTTAAGCTCCTCAAGTCTCTTTCCTTCTCTTTTAACCTCCTTGTATGAAGATCATGCATGGTTTTTCTCTCATTTTGAATGTGTCGGAGTGCCAGATCAAGACTTGTCCTAAAAAATTGTAATAAAATATTGGCGTAATCTACATATAACATTTAGTACTGATACTTAAATGTTTACCACAGCTGTTAACAAAATTAGAAAAACAATTTATTGAATCAATATGGGACGGAGTGGTCTAGCGGTAGAGAGCGGGACTGCTAACCCGTTAGTCTCGAATCCGGGTTCAAGTTAGTAGACCGTCCCTGAGTCCACCCAACTCTGATGGGTACCTAACTCACATTAGGGAAAGTAAAGGCGGCTGGGCATAGTGCTGACCACACTATCTCTTCATATTCCGAGGTCACAGAAACAAGTGAACTCTACTTCACTTGCCCCATAGACCGTCAGGTTTGAAAGGGAAACTTTACTCTACTAATAAATATTACATAGTTTTAATGATTTTATTTTTTATTGCATTTTTAATTTTTTAGTTTAATAGTATCAATACAGTTTTACCTATAATTTATAAACTAGTTAAACAATTAAAATAAAAACTGTATGCGCACCTGTCACCTGTGAGAGTGACCTCCCTCTCCTTGGCCAGCTCGTAATCTTTAGACAAAGCCGCCAGGTCCCTCTCTTTCTCACTTAAGGCAGCTTTTTGAGATTTCAGTTTGGTCTCAGCTTCAAACTGCTCATCCTTCAAAACTTTTTGCTGACTCTCAAAGTTCTTCACAATCTCAACATACTCCTGGTATTCTGCATTCAAAGCCTCCAGTTGTACGTAAATTGCACTAGCAAATGGGGAAAAGCCACGAAACAATTATTTCTTTGTTAAAAAATTTTTCGTACACTAATGAACCATAGTTATAAAAATGAAATGAAAATGTTGAATTCACACACGCACACACATACATACATATTTTTAAAAACTGAATGTACCAATAGTGTCACTTTTAGCACTTTTCGAAGCAATCCTTATTCAATTTATTTTAAATTACTAAAGGTCAAATTAAAAATCAATTAAAATTTCAAGTATGTATTTTCTTACTTCTTTTGTCTCAAGATTTTATCTGCCTCTTTAGCTGTCTGACCTGGTATGGTGTTGATTTGAACTAGTTCTGCCTGTTTTATTTTTAAAAACACATTTTTACTAAGCCAGTGAAGGAAAGTTTATCTTTAATAAAAGTTAGTAGCAGTTTTTACATTTTCTTCACGATTCAAAATTGGGGAAAAAGGTTAAGCTATTAAAGAAAAGAAGTTATATTGGAAAAAAATGTTAGGCTATTAAAGAAAATAAATTATATTGGCAAAAAAAAAAAGTAAAGCTATTAAAGAAAATAAATTATATGGGCAAAAAAAAAAGTTAAGCTATTAGAGAAAAAGAAATTATATTGACAAAAAAAAGTAAAACTATTAAAGAAAATAAATAACATTGACAAAATAAAACGTTGAGCTGTTAAAAAAAATAAATTACGTTTCGTACGTTTACATACCTTCAACTTCTCCAGCTCTTCTGATAAGACTTCGTATTCCTTTTTATCAGTAGCAATCTGATGGTTTGTTTTCTCCAAATCTTCCTTCAATGTTTTTGACTCATTTTGTCTACTGACAACTTCCTTCTTCAGCTCTTCAGCTCCGGCCTGCAGTTCTTTAATTTTCTTTTCAATTTCCTTTGTAAACAAACAACAAAAACTTAGGTTTATAAACATGAAGTCACTTTTAATACTTTAAAGCTATGTAGTTTTTAAAGCTATGTAGTTTTTAAGAGCTGCTATTTCAATAAAACTTTTCAGATAAAAACAGGTCAGAATTCTCACCCCTTGTTTGGGCAACCTGTTGCTCTCCCTTAGAACAATTTTCTTTTCCTCTTCAAGACTGAAAGAATAAGATATAGAAACAATTAAAATTCTTGTAAAAAAACTACAAGTGTGCTTTTTTTGTAAGTTAAAACAAGAATATATCAAATAACTAAAGAAAATGTGTATCCTATAAAAAAAAAAACATTGTAAACAATCATTAGAGAGTAAAATTTTTTACCATTCAATTTTATACTCAAGCTGATATTGTCTCTCTTCGGCTTCAGCCAAATCATTGTTGTGTTTCAGTAACTGCTCCCTCAGCTTGGACACATCAGTGTTGGAGTTCTCAGGGAAGTGGTCTCCCTTCTCTAGCTCTATAAACTGTCTGTCAAGTTCGTTGGTACTTTTCTTTGCTTCTTGCAGAAGTCGTGCCTCACTTTCTCTGGTCCTATTAAAAACAGGTTATTTATACAATACCTTTTACCTCTAGATAGCTTTTAAGGTGATTTGATTTGGGTAAAAGAATAAATAAGCAAAAGAAAATTACCTTTTAAGAGTTTCATGTAATTCTGTGTATTTGGCTTTGAGAAATGCAACTTTTGTACCGGAGAGTTTTCCTTCTTGAAAAAGCTGAGAAAAAGATTAAATATAATTTAGTTGCTTTATCAATAACAATACACTAGCATAGCACAATGTATTTTAGACACATGTGATGTTAAATAATGTTTGAATTAAAGAAACATTTTCACTCCTTTTAATCATAAATGATGTGATTGGTTAAAACATAAACAAGAACAATATTAACCCTCTTGTTTAATGAAAAGGCCCAAAAATTTGTTTAAACCAAAGCCCAACTTTTCTTAGCAAGGTCATGTCAAATAGATCATCTATATATATATATAATTCTCTTCTTGGAGACGATAGAAAACACCAAGCTGTAAGCGCGCTCCCTACCACCCCCACTCCTACATGGTCTGGTGAACTGTGGTTCACGCTAAATGTTTACAAACGTAGAGCCGGGTTTAGTGACGCTATTAGGGGCATATAATTTAGTTTGAAACAATTTTAAACTTAGGGGAGGTAACTAAGAGGAGTTTCCTTTCAGGGGGGGGGGGGGGGTTGGGTAAAGGAGGGGGGGTTATCGTCCTTAACGAGCTACTGATAGTGTTTTAAATCAAATATTTTCAGTGGCAGCGTTGGTACTGTCGAATTCACAAATTATGAATTATTGAAAAGTAGAAAATAAAACAAATAAAAAGTGGCGTATAATACGCCGCGGATTGGCTCGTATATTATAATTCTAAAAATAACTTTAATAAAGAAACAAACACAAAATTATTTATTACATAAATGTTGCAAATCATCCAAGAAGACAGTTGCTGAGTTTCTATGTTTAAGTAATGATTTGATCAGAAGTAACGTCTCTGAGTCTAACACAACTCTAAAATGTATCAATTTTTTTCACTATCGCACAATATAGCTAACCAACTTCTTTCACTCTTAAAATTTTGGAAACCAAATGAGTTTAAAAAATTATCCCCAGTTTATGACAATCAAATTTTTGCATACTCAACATAAAATTACAATTACTGAAATAGTATATGAGAAAATTATGTCATTATTCAAGTGACTTGCAACTCACATTACCTGATCTAAACACTGGAATGCTGGACTAGATGAGACCTCTACCTGGCTCTCTTCCTGTTTAATAATCTTAGGAGGAAGGGCAGAAATAACTTCTGTATACTCTTCATTTTCATTCTTTATGTTCAAAGCATATTCCTCATCACTATCTGCATAATACTCTTTTGGTCTTATTTCTTCATCATCAGAATTTCCTTCAGAGTTTTGAAAATCATCTAACTTTTGAGCTTCATCTTCATCTTTTTCATCTTCATCATATTTCTCTTCATCTTTTTCTTCATCAACTTCTTTTTTGTCCCACTCATCAATTTCATCAGAGTTGTCTAGATCACTCATTTTTATTATTTAAGCTGGAACAGAGTACAAAACTTTGATAATAGTGAATGGAAAACATATATTCTCTTGAATCTAAGTGTAATATAACTATCAGAGGATTCTCTGAATAAGCATAACATTTTTGATAGCCTATTGTGTTAATTAGAGTTCCAGCACTGCCTGGTTAAAGTGACCCATTTTGTAGCTGGTATCATTATCATTATTAGAATGTGTGCAGAAGAACCAACAACTGAAGAGTTAGAAAACAATGCTTTTTGTGTGAACTTTTTGTAAGCTAAAACAGGGCAAGGGTTAGTACTGATACAATAATACTGAATAATAATATAGAATATGATTGAATATAGAAGAGAAGTATTTATTTTTCTAGCAGATCTAGTGACCAATACCTCTCTCTTCACCAATGTCCATGCATGGAATATTTATATTATATAGTATATTATTGACAACTGAATTAAGCTATTGAATCACTATTGGTGGATTCATGTTTATACTTTCAATCATTCTTTCTCTGCATTCTTAGCGGTCAACACAGACTCAATAGTTTCAGATGGACAGTCAGAGTTTAAAAAAATAAACAATTTAACTTTAAAGAGACAATTCAGCTGTAAATAGTGCAAGGGCATTATCTTTTATTTGAAAATCAACAGCGTATAGAACAGAATAAGATGACCTATACTTATTTACCCATATTACATAGTTGAAGTAAAGGGATAGAATTGTTAATTGTTAGGCCCAAATATTTACGTCTTCCACCATATTGTTTGCCTGCCGTTGTTATGACTTGTGCGCTTGCGCTTGTAGTTAGTCGTAAAAATAATTAGTTAAAATATTTAATCATCACATAAAATGAATAGCTATAACAGTTACATTTAAACAATAAATGACATCAATATAGTTGTTTGTGTATTTAGGATAGACTTTTTTAAAATGTTTCAAAATTAGTCTAACGCAGTATTGAAATACTATTTTCATTTTTTACGACACACAATTTTATTTGTAGCCATCTTTTCTTGTTGCCGCTTGTGCGCGTGTTGCATTCTTACACACTACCCAAAAATGAAGATAGAAGAAGTTAAAAGCACTTCTAAAGCTCAAAGGATAGCCACCCATAGTCATATTAAAGGTTTAGGTCTCGACGAAAATGGATATGCTGTTCAGTCTTCTGCTGGTCTTGTCGGCCAAGAGCTTGCTAGAGAGGTAAAGACAAATCTTAGTCTGTGCTTACCAAAAATCCACATTTGTACCGGTAACGATGGACGCCAAATCAATCAGATTGTTCTAGAATATTGTTAGCAATGGAAATTTCAATTAGGCCTATAACATACAGCTAACATAGGAAAATGTGCTGGCGCATTTCAAAAACCAAAGAGTGTTGACTGTTACACCAGTGTCCTACAATGCCATAATAAAGATGAGGCAATTATTTATTAATGAATGGCAATGAAATGGTCAGACCTGATCATTAGAATCTTCTTTAAAAAGGGGTGTTCAATTATTATTCCATGTGATTATTATGTATGCCTGTGCCTTATATTGAAGATCAGGTTGCCTGAAAAAATAACCAATAGGGCCTAACTGAAGAAAAACTGGACAGGACCCTATTGCCCTAAGTGCAAATGGGGATGGATTGGACACACCTTGTGCCTTGTGTAAACCATCTAGCAACAGGCACTAGATCTATATTGAAAAAAGAGTAGTAGGTAGGCCAAAACAAACATCGATTGTCAATGAAATTGAAGAAGCTGGAATGTCATGGACACAATATTGAGGAATCGCCAAAAATCAAATACAATGGAGATGTGTGGTTGCATCCCTATGCTATTTTCTGAGTCTATTGTTGGACACCAGTAATACCAATACTCCTAAAAGACTATTGCTAATATAAATTGAAGGTTTCAATCATTTATAATTGGCCTACATGTCAATGTTAAAGATCATGTGAATAATAAATGTCACAGATTGAATTACCTCTGCCCCTTAAAAACTGCCTTGTTTAATTTGGCCATCTAATGTAAATACTCATGTACATCCAAACTTACCATATTAACCATATTTTGTATAAAAACTACAAAGTATCAGATATTTTTGCAAATCTTCATGATTTAATTTTAAATAATTTCTAATTCTTGTCTAGGCTGCCGGTGTTGTGGTGGAACTAATTAGATCCAAGAAAATGGCTGGTCGTGCAGTTCTACTTGCTGGTCCACCAGGAACTGGAAAAGTAAACTTTTGTTTATTTTAATTTGCATTTTTCATAAAAAGCTTATTTTGTGATCATTAATACAATCATGAAGTATTCTTTTCTAGTCCTTATAACAATCAGTGAAATTGCCTGCATGTTGGTTATTTTTATAAAACTGCAAACTTGCTTTTCAAGTATGCTGTTTATTATATTTTTTTATGTTATTAAAATCTTAATTTTGCTAGCAGTTTAAAACTTTTCTGTTTGACAAGGCAATATGAAGTCTATTTCTGTTTTATTTAAAGAGAGAATATTTTTTTTATATATCTTTACTTCAGCAATATTTATATTGGCTATTAAATAGCTTTTATATAAACACATTTCTTTAACAGACAGCCATTGCCCTTGCTATAGCACAAGAGCTTGGTTCAAAAGTCCCCTTTTGTCCCATGGTAGGAAGTGAAGTCTACTCATCAGAGATTAAGAAAACAGAGGTTCTTATGGAGAACTTCAGACGAGCCATTGGCCTGAGAATCAAGGAAACCAAAGAAGTTTACGAAGGGGAAGTAACAGAGTTGACACCTGCAGAGACAGAGAATCCTATGGGAGGTGAAGAAAATATTTTTCAGGGTTTTTTTTTTTTTTAATTATTTTATTTAGTTTGCCATTACAAAATAAACCTGGCTTTTTCCACTGGCTAATTTATCTTGTTCGCATTTTGGTTTTAAAACTTCAATGATTAGGGATTCAGTTTCTTAAATTTTAAGACACAAACAGCTTTTAACAACTTTTTTTCTATTCTATTGTCAGCTTAAAATAACAAAGTTCTCTAGGTCATGCATTTTTAAAGGCCAAAGCCTTGTAATTTTGTATACTGTGCTAACTGTTGTGCTGTGTTTGCTTGAGTACAGGCTATGGCAAGACAGTGAGCCATGTTGTGATTGGTTTGAAGACAGCTAAAGGCACAAAACAACTGAAGCTTGACCCATCCATTTATGAAAGTTTACAGAAGGAGAAAGTGGAAGTTGGGGATGTCATTTACATAGAGGCCAACAGTGGGGCTGTTAAGGTTGGCTATGTTATTACGTATACATTTATCTTTATGTTACTTCCTTGAGGCCTAGCTTCATCTGTAGACAACTGATGATTTCTGTGTTAAGCATTGATGTTAGCATAATTTTTACACATAAAAACACACCCAATAGTGTGACTTGTTGAAATGTTAGTTAAACATTGATTTTCAGCATCTTATGTTGTCTTTCTTCATAGCGTCAAGGAAGATCAGATAACTATGCTACTGAATATGACTTGGAGGCAGAAGAGTATGTTCCCCTACCTAAAGGAGATGTTCATAAGAAAAAAGAAGTTATTCAAGATGTTACACTTCATGACCTTGATGTTGCTAATGCCAGGCCACAGGTGAGTCAACTGGTTTTTAAAGTAGATGGTTGTTTTTTGTTTTTTTTTAATTATTAAACTTAAGAAGGGGTTGTTTTTTTGTTGTTGTTTTTTCTTTGTTAATAAATTTGTATTGCAACTCATTTACTCTAGGGTGGTCAAGACATTATGTCAATGATGGGACAGCTGATGAAGCCCAAGAAAACAGAAATTACAGGTAATTATTTTAACAACATGTCTGTTTTTAATGAAGTAGTGATATAAAGTGTTTGGCTAACTAAAAGGTTTGTTCTATTGTAGATAAACTGCGCAAGGAAATCAACAAAGTGGTGAACAAATACATTGATCAAGGCATAGCTGAATTGGTCCCTGGTGTTTTGTTTATTGATGAAGTTCACATGTTGGATATTGAATGTTTTACATACCTTCATCGAGCTCTTGAATCAACCATAGCACCTATTGTCATCTTCGCTACAAATCGAGGGAAATGTATTATAAAGTAAGAATGCACATTGGTGATTGTGTTGTTGTTTTTTTTTTTTAATTTTGTTAACGTATTTTATTTGAAACTCTTGTGTGAAGAAGCATTTTTGTTTTGTGCTTTTGATTTTTTTTTTAAACAAATTATAGTATTGCATGTGGGATTTAGAACTTTATATTATCATATTCAAGTAAAACTAACATATCTCAATTGTGCTCTTTACCAGGGGTACAGATGATATAATTGCACCCCATGGGATGCCACTTGATTTATTGGACAGGATTATGATTGTTAGAACTCTCCCATACTCACAAGAAGAGATGATGCAGGTACTGATGTTTAGCTTATGACACTGCGTTACTACTTGAGTAATGTTTAAAATCTTGTTACCACATCAAATTTGTTTTCTCATTTAGATCCTGAAAATCCGAGCTCAGATAGAAGGCATTCAGGCTGATGATGAAGCTTTGAGAAAGTTAGCAGCCACCGGTGTGAAGTCTACTCTCAGGTATGTTTTAATGTTCATTTTTTTTTTACTGAGTTAAGGTTTAAGGGAAATAAAAATGTTAAAAATTAATCAAATGAAATTTTAACACATTATTCTAAAACATTGTAAATCATGTGGTGGTTTTTTTTTTATTATTTCTGTACAGGTATGCAGTCCAGATGTTGACCCCAGCTAATGTCATGTCACGCATCAATGGTAAAGACTCAGTAACTAAGGAAGAGGTAGATGAGGTGGCAGCACTTTTCCACGACGCCAAGTCTTCCGCCAAGATCTTAGCAGAACAGGAGGACAAGTACATGAAATAATCCCCACAATGCACTACCACAGGATATGAATGTGATAAGAGGAATACTAGGGGGAAAATGATGCATGTGGTTTTATTTTAAAACTTGACTGTGGGATCTAAGCAAGCAACCGGGACATTTTCCAATGTACTATGTATTGTGGGAACAAGGCTTGAAGATTCATTTTTTAAAACCCGCCTACTATGCCGGAGTATATGAGCTGCTCACATTTAGTTATTCAAATTTTTGGAATTCACATATTGAAACTTGCTGAAGTAAATGAGTAATAGGTTTTTGTTGAAATTATGGATTTGTCCTAGGCTTCAAGTATTCATAGCTGAGAAAGTGTGTATTATTTTTTACTTGTACATAGATTTTAACATGGATCTGAATGTGTCGTCACAATTGATGAAGTGTAAATATCAAACCTTCAATAACCTGACACTAAATCTTCCATACTCACCATAATTAGACTTCGTTCTTTTGATTAGAATTATTTGGCTGGCTCTTTTGTTTTTAAATTAGATATCACTTTGGTTCAGATTTAGTGGATGAGTTGACAAAATTTTTACATGTTTTAGGTATTATTGCATTCCTGGTTTGAATTCATCAATGTACATTGAACTTATTCCATATGAATATTTGTTTTTCATTATTTCTTATACATAAAAAAATGTTACGATTCTATGAATTTTTGAAAAAAATAAATGTTGTCTTTTTAAATGGATTTTTTCATTTTTAATTGTTTACTTGAGTACTTGTTTTGAAAGTGGCATATGCAGCATTGCACTAATTGTTTCAGTTTGTCACCTAATCTTCTTCATTCATCTTCACTGCCTGCAGTTAAATGGTTGTCTAAGTGTCAGTGTCTTCCTTACTCAACCAAGCTTTTGTAACAAAAAAATTTGGTTACTGAAGTAAATTGCATTTTCTTTAAACCTTTCTCAAATTTTCTTAGTGGGGAGCTGATTTTTTTATAGATTCTTTTAGTATCTGAGTGACTATTTGGAAACAGCTATTTTAACATGCCATTAGCTCAATAGAAGAAAGAAGAGAATCAAAAATCCTCACTCAATACACAAAGCTAGAGGTACTGGAAAACCATAACCTAAAACAGAAACCCAGTCCATCAACCAGACTACAAAGAACAAGTTTCATCAAAGAAGCAAAGAATCTAAAAAAGAAATATGAAATCGAAAATATTCCTGAAGCAATAAAAACTCAAAACCTCTCCCCGCCTTGGATCTCCCACTGTCATTTAACCATTATTGACTCAATAGACACCATAGAAAAAAAATCTGACTATGATCAAGAAGAACTAAAGAAAATAACAAATAAACACATTAAGGATCAGTACCCCAGCAATACCTGGATTAGAGTTTTCACAGATGGCTCAGCTGAAGATGCCACAAAAAATGGCGGGGCTGGCGTCCTTATTGAATGGCCAAGCGGAGAAAGCCTGGAAAAGGCAATAGCCACAGGCAGCCTATCCGACAATTTTAGGGCAGAAAAAAAAGCTATAGAGCATGCAGCAAACCTCCTGTCAGAACACCCTGAATCACCGAATAGTCAGATTGTATTTCTTACAGATGCCAAATCTGTCCTGCAATCCCTAAAAAATCCAGAGTCCTATACTCAAACACTTATGACAGCACTAGAGAGGCTAATAAATACCTGCAGCAGAATTGTGCTGCAGTGGATCCCGGGCCACTGCCAGATCCAGGGTAACGAGATTGCAGACCAGCTGGCAAAAATTGGGGGAAAGAAACCACAACCGGAAATTTCGCTACACCCAAAAGAAATAAAAAGAATAATAAAAAACAAACAGACGCAAATGTGGTCTGACACACACCCTCACTACAATAAAGATGATGGCTATTATAATGTGACACGAAAACAACAATACATAATCTTTCGACTTAGAACAGGCCACAACAGACTAAATCAACACATGCACAAAAAACTGAAGGTTGGGTGTGGCGAAATGTGCCCTTGTGGCAAGGCCCCGGAAAATACGGAGCACGTACTTCAGGAATGTACTTTGTATAGCCAGGCACGAGTCAGACGCTGGCCCCCTTCCCACTCCACTCAGGGAAAAATTATATGGGACACCTGACAAACTGGAGACCACAGTCCGGTTTGTTCACGAAGTTGGACTTGTTGTCTGAATCCTCCACCATATTCTCAATTAAGAACGAAGAAGAAGAAGAAGAACATGCCATGAATAAAAAACTTTGTTTTATTATAATTTATTAAAACTTCAAAACATGGCATTTTTACATACTGACTTAAAAAACTACATGATGTTTATATATAACACGAGTGATATAATTAACATCCTGGAGGCCTAGGTGAGTATCCACTAGCACCTCTGTACTAATGCAAGTCCCTTGCTTATCAATGATATCAAGCAAGTATCTCATTGTAGTTTCATAGGGTACGTAGCAATACATATTGTTCACAATGGCTTAAAAATAATGTGACAGTTTCCATAAGTAAATTATAACACGCAACAGAGAGAGAGATTTCATAAATAGCTGAACATCCATTTGAAATATGTACAACTTCAATGAACAATTGAAAACGTGATTTTAAAATACTGTTTTGTAAAAATACCACATAAAAACAATCAAAATTCAACAGATTGATATTTACAGTAGGTTCTTAATTCTCATTGTTGACCTTATACTCCCTTTAAACTTTCAAACTGAATTTTTTTTTTTATGTATAAATAGGCTTGTAAACTGGCTTAAGGAAATGTATTAATTGGTTGTTTTTTTTTAAATTATACCAAACTTAAAATAAGCATAAAATTTTAAAAGTATTTGATATTTATAAATCCTTATTTTAAATTTAGTGTAGGACAAACATTTTATTTTCAGCAGTTAGGGTACATAACTCTTGAAATGGAATGTAAGTTCTACCAGTGTAAAAAAGGGTAGAGGAATGAGATTGTTTATTTAACACAACTTTCTTGTTTATGAAATACATAGTGAAAAATGTAATTGCCTATGAAGTAATTTTAGATTCAACTTAATTCAACTAAAAATATAATTTTATACATATGAACAATATGAATACATATAATAGAGGTGGGGGGGGGGGGGAGTCAAATCATCATAATTTTATAATATTAATACCTTCTGAGATAGCTAATAGAGTCTATAACAATACTGTTTTCTGATAAATAAAATAATTTAATTATATCTGTTAAGATGTGTGTTATTTGTTTGATGAAATTTATAGCTATTATAAAGAATCACCTCTCCACTGTTTAGATACAATTAATATGTGATGTAAAAAAATAAGAGGGGTCCTGGAGTATTTTAGTCATAGTTTTAAGAAGATATTGTTTTACATGCTTTTTTAAATATCCTGGAAAAGGGTTTGCTAACAATAGCAAAAAAAATTGAAATCTTTGTCCATAACATAAGAAGTAATTGGCAATCTATGTAATGTTGTATGAATAATTTTAATATGACGAAAAAACAACTCAAATACTGACCATAGTCAGAAACTAGCTGAAAAGAAAGCAAAGAACATATAGAATTAGTGCAAAAAAATTCAGTTTATATTATTTACAAAATGACAAAAAGTTTTTTTTTTAAATATCAATGTGCAATTAGTTAATTGATAATATAAATTTGTTTTGTAAAAAAATAAATGTTGATCCAAGTTAGTATAAAAAATATTTGTACACAATACTAAGTATGAGATCTTTTAACTTTTGAACAAGTATTTTTAAAAAATAAGTCATACAAATATTTACAATTAAAGCAGCTGTTATGTAAATAAAATTACTGCAAAGTTATAAAATTTTACAAAATAAGTGTACACATTTATCTCTTTAAAACAATTTTTCTTTTTAATGGGTAACGGTTTATCGAAAACCAGCTTAAAAATTACTATATTTGTAAAAAAGATACATTATCAAGATGAGATATTATAGTGAATAGATGTCAAAAGTCAAAATAAGCCTACATTAAAAAAAGAATAACTTATTTTAATTTTTTTAAGTTGTTCTTTTTTTTTAATCCTTGTAAAATGCCCTAATAGTTGAATTTAAAAAATTTCAGTAAACTAAGCAGCATAAAGAAAATTCCAGATAAAGACAAAATATTTTCTTTCTGGCACAGATTTTTTTATTTCAACAATCACAATGTTTAACGTATTACAGATCTTGTTGTTAACATTATTTAATTAATTTTTGTCTGGAAAATAGTGATCAACTCAATCTCGAGAAAAAGCATAATTCTCTACATAGAAACCCATAGGAGGTGGTTTAGTCACACCTCCTTCACTTTCCTCATCAACATCAGAACTTTCTGGAATAACTCCATGGAAATTTTGTCCTTGTTCAGGCAGAGAATCCAGCTGGAATGGAAGCAAGTTGTCTTCTGAGGCGTTACGGTCAAATGCTGCATTTTCAAAGCTCTCTGATGGATTGTAGCATGGTTTGCTCCCTTTGGGTTTGGGTAGGACTGAGGGGGGCTTGGCTTTTAAGGACCTTGGAGAGTCGTACTCACTGCTGTCAGAAGGGAGGGAACTTCTGGTAAAAGGTTGTTTGTATCCAGCTTCATCACCAGCAAGTGAAACTGTAGGCCAGAAACATTAAAGATGATAAATGATTAGTGTTTTAGTAGTTACAAATTTAATGAAACATTACAGATGATAAATGGTTAGTGTTTTAGTAGTTACAAATTTAATGAAACATTACAGATGGTAAATGATTAGTGTTTTAGTAGTTACAAATTTAATGAAACATTACAGATGGTAAATGATTAGTGTTTTAGTAGTTACAAATTTAATTAAACATTACAGATGATAAATGATTAGTGTTTTAGTAGTTACAAATTTAATGAAACATTACAGATGATAAATGATTAGTGTTTTAGTAGTTACAAATTTAATATTAGACCATTGATTTCTTAAAATGTTCAGCTAGTTTTAACATGTTATCATATTACCACTTTTACAAAACTTGAGAGGTTACTGTTATTTTTATTTGAAATGAAAAATGTAAGTTTTATTTATATTTACATTGCCTGCCAGCTAATATCTTAGGTGTGTCATAGCCACATTCCGTCCCTCCTAAAACTGGCAATCCTGAATTATCAAATTTTAAAAGTTAAAAAAAACATTTAGATAAAACTTCACTTTAAAAAAATAATGAATCAGCTTTTTCTCCTAAAGACAAATAAAACAGACTGATTAAGCTAACATGTGTTACAACAAATAGATTTTGATAATTTAACAAGCTAATTTTTATTGCTTTCACATCAACCATATTATAAGTTGCATATATATTTTTTGGAATGCACAAATAATAAACCTTTTAATTAGCTGCTGTTTTTTTAAAAATAATTTTTAGTTTTTTTTTACTCATATTCATTTAAAATAAAAATTTGAACAAAATTTGAACACATTACCAATGTCTTGCAGTTCATCCTCATTATTTATCAGGGGGGCTGCAAAGGGGTCGTTGGTGTTGTGAAATCGTACTGGAATTTCAGCATAGGGTCTTTCAGGCAATCTGAATTGTGGTGAGTTTTCTGTTTCCACTGGTTCTGGCACTGGTTCAAATGGACCAATGCTGTCCACATCTTGTGGTGCAAACGTTGGTGGATCTTACCATAGAAAATCAATAATGGTCATTGAAAATATAAGTTAAAACATTTTTTAAAAGGATCTCTCTTCTGAAAGTTAGAAAAACATACTTTTACTTACAAATTAGTAATTTAAGTGTAGTAACATTCTTATTTTTTAAATAGCTATTCTCATTTTAATAAGCTGAATAGTGAAGTCTAATTAACATAGCATTAAAAAATTAAATAATTAAAATATATAAATCACCTGGTGCATTCATGTAAGGGATGTTGTCTACATCGTCATCAACTGGTTGAACAAAATCAGGAATAGTGAAGGGGGGGATAACAAGCCTTGGCAGGTTGTTGGGAACATCTGAGTAGGGGTTCATTCCCTCACCATCAGGTTCATTGAGAAATACTACGTTAAAAATAATACTGTTACTCAGGTATTTAACAATAAAATAATCAAAGGAAACAGTTGCTAATTAAACTTGAATATAATTTAAATATTTTGTTAGTTTGTTTTTTAATAAATTCAAGTAGCAGAACAATATATTATATAACTTTATTATTATTACAGCCTAATTACATTTTAATAACTATTTCAACTAAAACTGTGTAAGTTTAGTTGAAGACAAGCCTGCTCAAAACAATAATTTAAAAAATCAATCTTACAGTTTGAATTGTGAAAGTGTGGTTGCATTCCAGTAAAAATCAAGTAACAAGATCACACTAGAAGAACAAATATCTCTACCTGAATCAGTGGAGGATTGTCCAACCAATCCATCTAGAGTTATCTTTACTTCATCAAGGTCTTGATAAGGAGATTCCTCTGTTAGACATTTTAAAATTTGTTTTGTAAGAAAAATAAAAACAAATGCACAAAATTTAAAGTAGAACTTGAAAAATAAGAATCTAAGCTATAATAGAAATTTACCAGAAGCCTGTTTTCTTAGCTTGGTGTTGAGGGTATTAAAATCTTGATATGGGTTGTCTTTTGCCCTCTCTAGCAATTCAGAGGATTTCACATCGGTGATTTCCCTTGGTTTAACATAACTATTTTAAAAAATGAGCAGATTAATATATTTCTTATCCTTCTAAATATTATATTAAAACTGCACATAGAATAGTTGGATGAAAATAGCTCTTTGGATAATTTGCTTTTCATACATATTTCAATATAATTTATTACTCAATATAGTAGCTTGTCACCAGGATGAATGAAAGGTGTTTTTAAAAAGTTTAAGAAAAAATATAAAAAATTCTATCGATTTTGTTGTTGTATTTTTAGTTTTGAACAAAATTATTAATAAAACAGTTTACAGTTTATAAGAATAGAAAGCATGAAAAATGGTTTAAAGATTAAATAACATGCAGCAGCTCTAGTTTTTATTACAAAATTTATAAAACTAGTATTCACCCATCAGCATCCATATCGGCATAAGCCCCGCCCACTGCCCCTTCAGGGTTAAAGAAAGGTTTTGGTGGGTTAAACTGGTCGTCTTCTGAAGGTGTTGTTGGTAATGGTGACAACTGTTGGATTAAATCATTAGTTTGCTTTCAAACTTATTTAGATTTTAAAATGTGGATTATAAATAAAAGCAGCTAAATATGAAGAGTCTACCATCAAGTAAATATATCTGTTAAAATATTTTCATTTTAAAAATTATGGTTCTCCATTTTTACAAGGTTTTATTTAGTTCTCAATATCAGTTTGTTTGTTTATTTGTTGTTGCTTTTTTTCCTAGAAATGTATACATAAATATTGTTTTATATAAAACTGTTTTTACTTAAGTTTTAAAATATACCTGTCAAGTCTAGGATAATAAGAAAATATAACTGAAATTCCAATACAAACTGAGTAAGATGCTACTATTTTTAGATTGTGCCTGTTACCTGTCTTTGTGTTCTAGGTTGGGGATTAAGGCTGACTGTGTTATACAAAGAGTTTCCAAATGCCAAATTGTTTGTTGAACCATTCTCACTCTGTATTTCTACATACTTCTCTTTTTTCTCCTTCCTAAATTTAAAATAAAATTTTAATTAATTTCTTCAAAAAGTTTTTTAACTAAGTAACTGAGCATTAATGGCCTGCTAGCCAAGTAACTAAGTGGTTGCATAGTTTATTTTTTACTAAAAACCAAAGAAATTATTTTGTAAAATTATAAAACATGGAACTTTCCGTGGGAAAGAATAATAAACAATATTTAAAAGATATTTATTAACTAACCTGTCTCTATGTCTCCAAATGATACAAGCCAAGATAATGACCACGATGATTACAAGTCCAACACATATGACAATTATGTACCATAGTTTAAAGTCTTCATTTTTTCCCTAAAATAAATTTTTTTTAAATTGTATTCTATAACATTTGTAACTCTACATTATCATTTTTAAAATGCTTAATTTTAAAACTTAATTACTTACTTTTGAAGAATCATCGGAGCCTATTATGTTGCCGCCTACTGTTGCATTGGAAGTGGAGTTTGATGAAGGCCTAAGCTGCTCTGTTGTTGGTGTGGTAGTCCATGAGCTTGTTGTTGGCACTGTTGTAGAAAGGTAACTCTGATTTGGAGTTGTCCATACTAGAGATTGAATAAAAAAAATAATACAATAAAGTAGAAGGTAAATAGTAAAATAAAAATCCTATAATTAAGTCATAATAAAAGAGTTCTTTCTAATATATAATCTAGCTTTAAAATTTTCAATAACATTCTACATTTATTTAAATACTGAATCTAAAAATAATTTGAAAATTTTTCAAAATGTGTTAGTATATTTTGATAAATACAAAATCCAAACACAAACACCAAAAATAATTCAAAAATTAAAGTGTGATTTTCTTTTAGAACTTTAGACACAATTTTAAAACATCAGAAAACATATCAGATTTCATAGAAATGGACCTACTTGTGGTCGAGCTAATGAATTCACAATGACCTCCACTGTAAGGGTAGACACACTGGCAACTATAGGATGTGTCATCTGAACTGTTAATTAACAAAGCAAATATAAACATTAAATATACTCATACTGATGCTGACTTGTAGCACTGTTTTGATCAATCTATATCTACCACTGTCCTAGCCTACACAATTAAAAACTGATTAGAATAAAATTTATTTAATTAAGGGAATTTAAAGGGAAAAATAAAGGAGGCCCAAAAAATTGTCTTTTTTTTTATTGCGTTTCTAGCTAGCAAAATATACTATTAAGTCGATTCAGAGTATTTCAGAACATAATATCCACCTACTTGCTGACACATGTAGCCCCATTTAGACAAGGACTAGACTGACATGAACCATTTTTCCACTCGCAGTTGTTGCCATCATAGCCTTTAAGACATGTGCAGTTGGTTGTGAATGTTACGTTGTTGAACGTACAAGTCCCATTATGTAAACAAGGATTGCTTGCACATAGGTTCTCCACCACAGAACAATTTTTTCCTGTTACAGAAAAATAAACATTCCCTTTTGTTATATAAACAATTAAACATGATTACATCTTTTGTAAGTTTTCAGAAATGATTCTGTTGTAATAAATACGCTTATACTTCACAATTATCAACTTGAATGTGTGGATAATCCCCAGCATTCAATAAAGTAACAGCCAAACAGAGGGTTAGCTAATGTGTATTAAAATAGATAAGAAAAAAAATTCAAATCTGAAAGTTGGCTGGACAACAAATTGTAGTTTTTTTTTAAATTCTACTGATACCAGTTGGTTTTTAATTATGTTATCAAAAGAATTTGTTTTGGATTTTAGTTTATTTGTGAGAAGTAGAATACATTAACTTTTGCAATAAGTTTAAATGTAAAAACATTTTTTCAACTAACACTGAAAAAAAAATTCTTTTAATTCAGACAGAACACATTGACTGGTAATGTTTGTTAGACTTACATACATTATCACCATTTAAAAGACACAAACCTGCAGCAGTAATATTTGAAAATGTCTTTAATTTAACTACACTGCTTAACATTTAAGGTACCTTATTTATTCAGGTAGGTCAGAGAAGGGCAACTGACATTATGTGACCTAACCATATGAAATGTATATGTGGTCAGCAAAATGACAGCTGCATTTACTTTCTTCTACTTAAATCAGGTAGGCTACTTATTACAGTTGGGTTGACCCAGGGACAAGACATCAACCAATTTTGCGGCCCTTTGTTTAGTAACTGCACTCTAGTGCTGAACTTTAATCTCATTATCTTTTCTCGTTTGTGCCAAAGACATATAAGGCAGATGAATGAAGAATTCATTTGTTTCAATTATTTCAGCATAAAGAGTTAGCACTATGCTCAGCTGCCTTAGCTTTCCAAAGGTGGGAACTCATCAGAACTGAGTGAACTCAGGGATCTGCTACAGACTCAAGTCCACTTGACTATACAACTCCAGATATTATTAGCTTATGATGAGTGATTTAAAAAGCCACCGAAAAATACTTTTGTAATGAAACCAATTACCCATGTAATGAAACCAATTACCCATGTAATGAAACCAATTACCCATGTAATGAAACCAATTACCCATGTAATGAAACCAATTACCCATGTAATGAAACCAATTACCCATGTAATGAAACCAATTACCCATGTAATGAAACCAATTACCCATGTAATGAGGAGGACAGTGACAGATGTAATCTCCCACCAAATTTTCACATGTTCCAGTTTCACAGATTTGCTGGCTACACTCATTGATGTCTTCTGTACAGTTGACCCCAGTCCAACCTGGCATAGAAAATACATCAGATAGTTTTGTAAGAAAATAATCTTCCTACATCTTTTTTACTAACTTGTTGAGATTTATATATAAATGCATCACCAATTTCAGAATGTAATATTAACATAATGAAGGAGCTAAAAAAATTTTTTAATTTAATACAATTAGTCTTTTCATACAAAACAATTTTAGCGTCTATGCTCAATTTACTCACCTTTAGCGCAGACTTTGGTCCCAGTAATTGGGTCACAGGAAAAGTGGCCAGCAGCACTGTCCTGGACTTTGCAGTAAGTGGAACAATTGGATGAGAAGTAGTTGGCGTCGCAATAAATTCTTATTCTAAACTTCATCCTGCAATAAGATCCAGGATATTTTTTACAACTCATACAAAAAAAAACCAAAAAAAAAAAACGCTTGACTCTAAATAAAATATGGTACAAAGACAGAGTGATAAAAATATAATCATTATACACACTCTATATTCTGATGAGAAGAATTAATAATCATACAATATAACTAAACAAGTTTTTAAAATGATACAAACTCCTATATCAATCAAACATTTGACAGAAAAAAATTAAATTTCCTTGATATCCCACTCAAGAGGTATAAAACTTAAACAAAATTTACTTTTAATTACATATTAAAACAATATTCTTTAATAAACCAAATGGTTTAGAAAAGAATTACCCTAAATCTCCACTTAACAATTTTTTACGTTAAAAATAACGTTTTTAAAAAATTAAATTTTCTAATCCATTTAGTAAAAAAAAAAACACAAATTTGAAAAAAAAGTATCAAAATGTACGTGTAGCCTCCGCTGCTTGTACTCCTGTTGCTAAATACAGCAATGTCTTTAGACGGGTAGACGACCTCCGTAAGATTTGTTCCCCATGTCTGCAGATGATCATCTCCAAAAATATCATCGTCCCTGATGCGAATGACAAATAGAATTTTTGGTCCCTGAGAAGAAACAAAAGCAAACAATTAAACACAGAGGAGCATGCAGACTTTTGTGTTTGTATGTATATATTATATAGGCATATATATATGCTGTTTATTTACCTATAATAAAAAATGTAGTTAAGTAACAACAGTAACCATAACACCTACCGGGTCTTTAGTAAGGGGTATAATCCATGGATTGGGGATACCGCCTACATCCTTTCTATAACTAAAGTCGATGTCGTTCGTGTCTTGATAGTGGCTGCTCTCGCCAGCTGATCCATAGTAGCATGAACTGATGCTCATTCTGTAGTAAACAATTGCAGGTTGAACAAACTTTAAGGCCAACCATTGGAGTAGATGAGACCATGTTTATGTTATAACACAAAAATAGACAGGATTTTGTTATGGTGAGGAGCTATATATATATATATATATATATATATATATATATATATATATATATATATATATATATATATATATATATATATACCTAAACATATACACATATATAAGCATTTATTTATATATTAATATACATACTTAAATACATTCATACAGACATATATACAAACACACACACGTATCGTCTTTCAAAATGCCTTCAATGAAATTCTTTGTTTTCTCTCTATCTAGTAACGAATTCGCTCATTTGAAGGGTTGGTAAGAGACTAACAGAAACTGTTTTTCTTGATAAATCAAAATCAGTATCAGCTTCCCGTGTGTGACTTATTAATCTAACAAGCTATATGGTTGTTGTTTTTTTTTTAAACGTAAGACTCCACTTCACATAAGGCAAGCTCCCTAAGAAACAATCTTCTTGTCATTGCCACTCCCTTATGAAGTTATTTGACAAGATGTCAAGTCCGATTACTTTGATTTACAAAATAGGATTATTTCCCTTGATAACACCTTACAACATAAAATGTTGAACAAAGGCTTATGTTTCGCTGACATTATTGAGTTCGTATCCAACTTAACATAACTTCTCTAATAATCTTAACTCGTATAGTAGGAAATTTTACAATTGGTACATGATAACAACTAAATATTATATAAATAGTGTTGGTGTGTGTATGCCGAAAGTATTGCTTTAAACTTTAAAAACAAACAGTCATCTTTCTATACACATTACGATCTGCCAGTTTTTTAAACGTCAGAGATGCATCAACAACGGTCAAATTGTTTTACTACATGCATTAAGAACTCACGGATCCGTGTCTCTCTTCAAACAGAAAGTAAACTTTGGGTCACACTTGCTGGTGCCAGCGTCCTCCGTACAACTCGCCTGGTACCTCATGAAAAGTATCTCAATAACAGCCCTGCTACTGGACAACTGAAATGTATGTATACATACATTTATATATGTATAAATAAATAAATAAATAAATATATATATATATATATATATATATATATATATATATATATATATATATATATATATATATTAGCCTATTTATACATATAAATTATAGGCCTACTTATATATATATATATATATATATATATATATATATATATATATATATATATATATATATATATATATATATATATATATATATATATATATATATATATATATATTACGATCATAACATATGCATCGATACACGAAGTATCCGAAAATTTTCATTCACTTTATAACGCTAACATGAACACAATAAATAAAAGAAAATTATTCAAAGAGACTTGTGACAGAAAAATTCCGAGAACACTCGGAAATATTGAGCAAAAGAAAACTGCAAACACGAATCAAAAACAAAAACATCACTAGACGTCAATACAAGGTTTCAATAAGGGATATGACCAAGTGAATAAAATAATGTATTTTAAATCATCTTTTAAATGATTTGGTTCCATTCAAAAACTGATCAGAAATAAACTGTGTTGTGGTTTATGTAGGGACGAGATACTCTCGTCCTTGTTACATGACTTATAGGGGTCGTCTGTTGATATGTTATAGAGCTTTAAACTGTGTATGTATGCGGAAAAATGTTATATTTGTATGTTATAAAATATATGCATAGTCCCTCTAGAACCGCGGTTCTTAACATTTTTGGGGTACCGAACCCCACCAGTTTCTTATGCGCATTCACCGAACCCTTCTTAGTAGTTCTATCGTCCGCACTGACACACTCCGATCGCGGATTATATGAGTCAAGTGAGTGTCTTGACCTCCGCCGAACCCCCAAGACTGACCCACCGAACTACTAGGGTTAGATCGAACCCAGGTTAAGAACCACTGCTTCAAGCATACACATTCACATTGTTAACCTCACCCCTCCCTTTCCCCCTCCACCCCCCACACCTCTCAAAAGTATGCCACCCCCCCTAAAAACGGATGTGACGTCATTTATAAATAACTCCTAGATTCGATTATGCTATGTTTGTTTTTACAAATAGACAGTCCGGCTTTAGATGGTCTATGTTCGGCGTCAGATAATTTGATCACTTTCAAACTATAACCGCAACCCTAACCCTAACCCTAGCATCCTAACCGATATCTTGTCAAAGTATTGTTTAGCTTGAGGGCGACAGATCAATCCTCGCTGCAGTGCTTTCAAATCTAGCTGCCCACAATTTATTTTACATTAGCTGTAGAAAGACCTTGTACCAAATAAATTAAATAACCCATTCAGTTTTTTAATATTAATTTTTTTCTCATACACAACACGCAAAAAAAAAGCCGAATGCCTATTGAAAAAACAACAAATATAGAAAGTCTATGCCCATTGAATTAGTTCCCCTTGAAGAGGTTAGTGTTATTATGCCCCTTGGGTAAAAAAAAAAGTTGTATAAATTCAATCCGACAGCTCATGCGCGTTTGTTCAGGGTTAATTTGTATGTATGTTATTACTGTTATATGGTGTTTACATCGGGGGATCCAACACGTAAGGATTTGGGGTGGTTATTGTGTATATTAGGTAGGGATGGTATACTGTAATTACATATAACACTGCTTTTGATTTTTTTTATTTTATATTTAAAGTATGTTCGCCTAAATGCGTTATCAAGAGCGGGGGGGGGGGGGGGTGCTTATGAATATTTTATACCGTTTTATTTTCTAAAATGAACTAACTCATGTAAATTAAAAGAAAAAAACAACTCTTTGAGTAGCGCTACATTATATGGCGATTTATGTGGCTTTGTTTTTTTTTCTTGTGGAGAGTGGGATGGGAGGGACAAAGGTGTGATGGACTTTGAAATGTTTGCTACAGTAAGGTGTAGTGTTCTGTTGGAACATTGATGACTTTGTGTGGGGATGGGTCAAAATTAGTCTATGTTTGTATTTGAGAATATAAAGGATTGCGCACATTAAATAGTATGCAGAATAAATGTGGGTTAGGTTAAGGTTTAGAGTCAGTGATGGTTTTAAGATTAAGTGATTTGTTATGTGAGTCAGTGATGGTTAGGTGAGTCAGTGATGGTTATGTGAGTCAGTGGTGGTTAGGTGAGTCAGTGATGGTTAGGTGAGTCAGTGATGGTTAGATGAGTCAGTGGTGGTTAGGTGAGTCAGTGATGGTTAGGTGAGTCAGTGATGGTTAGGTGAGTCAGTGATGGTTAGGTGAGTCAGTGATGGTTAGGTGAGTCAGTGATGGTTAGATGAGTCAGTGGTGGTTAGGTGAGTCAGTGATGGTTAGGTGAGTCAGTGATGGTTATGTGAGTCAGTGATGGTTAGATGAGTCAGTGATGGTTAGGTGAGTCAGTGATGGTTAGGTGAGTCAGTGATGGTTAGGTGAGTCAGTGATGGTTAGATGAGTCAGTGATGGTTATGTGAGTGTGAGTCAGTGATGGTTATGTGAGTCAGTGATGGTTATGTGAGTCAGTGGTGGTTAGGTGAGTCAGTGATGGTTATGTGAGTCAGTGGTGGTTAGGTGAGTCAGTGATGGTTATGTGAGTCAGTGATGGTTAGGTGAGTCAGTGATGGTTATGTGAGTGTGAGTCAGTGATGGTTATGTGAGTCAGTGATGGTTATGTGAGTCAGTGGTGGTTAGGTGAGTCAGTGATGGTTAGGTGAGTCAGTGATGGTTAGGTGAGTCAGTGATGGTTATGTGAGTGTGAGTCAGTGATGTTTATGTGAGTCAGTGATGGTTAGGTGAGTCAGTGATGGTTAGGTGAGTCAGTGATGGTTATGTGAGTCAGTGATGGTTAGATGAGTCAGTGGTGGTTAGGTGAGTCAGTGATGGTTATGTGAGTGTGAGTCAGTGATGGTTAGGTGAGTCAGTGATGGTTAGGTGAGTCAGTGATGGTTAGGTGAGTCAGTGATGGTTATGTGAGTGTGAGTCAGTGATGGTTAGGTGAGTCAGTGATGGTTAGGTGAGTCAGTGATGGTTAGGTGAGTCAGTGATGGTTATGTGAGTCAGTGATGGTTAGATGAGTCAGTGGTGGTTAGGTGAGTCAGTGATGGTTATGTGAGTGTGAGTCAGTGATGGTTAGGTGAGTCAGTGATGGTTAGGTGAGTCACTGATGGTTAGGTGAGTCACTAATGGTTAGGTGAGTCAGTGATGGTTATGTGAGTGTGAGTCAGTGATGGTTATGTGAGTCAGTGATGGTTATGTGAGTCAGTGATGGTTATGTGAGTCAGTGATGGTTATGTGAGTCAGTGATGGTTATGTGAGTCAGTGATGGTTATGTGAGTGTGAGTCAGTGATGGTTAGGTGAGTCAGTGATGGTTAGGTGAGTCAGTGATGGTTAGGTGAGTCAGTGATGGTTAGATGAGTCAGTGATGGTTAGATGAGTCAGTGGTGGTTAGGTGAGTCAGTGATGGTTATGTGAGTGTGAGTCAGTGATGGTTAGGTGAGTCAGTGATGGTTATGTGAGTCAGTGATGGTTAGATGAGTCAGTGGTGGTTAGGTGAGTCAGTGATGGTTAGGTGAGTGTGAGTCAGTGATGGTTAGGTGAGTCAGTGATGGTTAGGTGAGTCACTGATGGTTAGGTGAGTCACTAATGGTTAGGTGAGTCAGTGGTAGTTAGGTGAGTCAGTGATGGTTAGGTGAGTCAGTGATGGTTAGGTGAGTCAGTGATAGTTAGGTGAGTCAGTGATGGTTAGGTGAGTCAGTGATGGTTATGTGAGTCAGTGATGGTTATGTGAGTCAGTGATGATTATGTGAGTCAGTGATGGTTATGTGAGTCAGTGATGGTTAGGTGAGTCAGTGATGGTTAGGTGAGTCAGTGATGGTTAGGTGAGTCAGTGATGGTTAGGTGAGTCAGTGATGGTTATGTGAGTCAGTGATGGTTAGGTGAGTCAGTGATGGTTAGGTGAGTCACTGATGGTTAGGTGAGTCAGTGGTGGTTAGGTGAGTCAGTGATGGTTATGTGAGTGTGAGTCAGTGATGGTTATGTGAGTCAGTGATGGTTATGTGAGTCAGTGATGGTTAGGTGAGTCACTGATGGTTAGGTGAGTCAGTGACGGTTATGTGAGTCAGTGATGGTTAGGTGAGTCAGTGATGGTTATGTGAGTCAGTGATGGTTAGTGGTTAGGTGAGTCAGTGATGGTTAGGTGAGTCAGTGATGGTTAGGTGAGTCAGTGATGGTTATGTGAGTCAGTGATGGTTAGGTGAGTCAGTGATGGTTATGTGAGTCAGTGATGGTTAGTGGTTAGGTGAGTCAGTGATGGTTAGGTGAGTCAGTGATGGTTAGGTGAGTCAGTGATGGTTATGTGAGTCAGTGATGGTTAGGTGAGTCAGTGATTGTTAGGTGAGTCAGTGATGGTTAGGTGAGTCATGACAGTTATGTGAGTCAGTGATTTGTTATGTGAGTCGGTGATGGTTATGTGTTAAAACAAGCTTAGGCCCAGATGTACTGTCACGAAGAGCAAGAGAGGGAAATAACCCTCATACCACTACGTTAAAAAACGATACACAAGGAGGGGGGGGGGGGGGCTAGTGGTGCACTAGAAAAACGGTATTTGTAAGCCAAGCATACACTATCAAAGAGTATCGATACTTTATTCGCAAACACAACTAACTTTAAAGTTAAGCCTAATCCTAGTCTAAACCTAAAAATAACCTTATACAACATTGAGGGGGGGGGGGGTACGGCTAATAGATTGAAAAAAAAAAACGACTGCGTTGTAAATGTAATGGAGCACGCCATTTTAAAATAGTCTACCATGCAACTAAAAACCGGATATGACCGTAACACATGGCAACGCAGTCAACAAAGTTAAATAACTCAAAACTCGAACAGTCTGTATGGTACACAGCCAAAAAATCATTCACCCATGCAAATCGTATAGCGGGTTTTAAAAGATATTTGATATAACAGTTCCCCTTGGGTTAACTTTCACCCACATCAACTGAACTTATAACTTTATACTCTCAACCAAGATTATATAACTGATTAGTTCAAACGTCTGCGTTTCAAATCTCCAAATAAAGAATTTTCTTCATACTATTTCTCTCCGCCCTTCTTTCAGCTAGGCATTTTAAATAGATCGAGGTTTAACCTTTTTACATATTTTCTCCTAAACATTTTAAGTAGATCGAGGTTTAACCGTAACAAATACTTTGGCCCTGGTCAATTAATTAGATTATGGTTTAACCAATTAATTAGATCAAGGTTTAACCAATTAATTAGATCTCGGTTTAATAAATTGATTAGCTCAACGTTTAACCAATTAATTCGCTCAAGGTTAAACCAATTAATTAGATCTAGGTTTAACCAATTGATTAGCTCAATGTTTAACCAATTAATTCGCTCAAGGTTAAACCAATTAATTAGATCAAGGTTTAACCACCTTCTTTGTATTCCATAGATAGCCCCGACTATAATACCATAACACCATAACACCATAACACCATAACGCCATAACACCATACCACCATAACGCCATAACGCCATAACACCGTAACACCATAACACCATAACACCATAACGACATAACACCATAACACCATAACGTCATAACGCCATAACACCATTACACCAATAACGCCATAACACTATAACGACATAACACCATAACACCATAACGCCAACCACAAGATCACCTACTTCAGCTGTTTGACTTGAGGGACGACTCTACCTAACATATTGTATCATCCGATGTTATACATAGGACTATACGTTTTAAACATGGGACGGAGTGGCCTAGCGGTAGAGAGCTAGACTGCTAACCCGAAATCCGGGTTTAAGTCAGTAGAACGTCCGCCCAACTCTGATGAGTACCTAACTCACGCTAGGGGAAGTTATTGAGGAGCGTTATTATGAGAAAAAACTTCTGTCGATGCCGTTAAATTGTATATATAGTGTGAGCGTAAAGTGTCGTGGCTAAATTTAGGAAGGTGACATCACAGTACATTCAGTCCATAATCAGTCATTTGGCTATCGGGTTACGGTAAAAATATGTAAAAGTCCAGTTCTGTTGAGGTTTTTTAGTTACTATTAACCCATTTAACGATTAACTAGGATCATTTAAATTACCGCTTCCCTCCCCTCCCCCCTTCCCCCTCCCCCCCCCCCCCCCCCCCTCCCCCCCAAGTTTAACGCAACTTTAATACTGTCAAGGTCTCCTCGTAAACCCATTGAAGCAAGGTGTTGCGGCGAACTTACAAAAAAAAATATTTACATTCCCTCTATGGATACACCGACTTGTAAGTATTCAGCTAGTGCCGCTGAAAAAAATTCCTTTTTAAAATCAATCGATTTTTTTTTTAAATTTTGATATGTTTCTCTATGATTCAGAGTTTTCGTAACATATCCGTCCTAACAGCTATTGCCGTAGTTCAATGGCGCATGACCGTGAGGAGTTTTTTTTTTTTTTTTTCAATAAAAAAATTCTATAGGCCTACATTTAAATTTTTAAATTTAATAAAAACGGTGGCATTTAAATGCTACATGGTAAAAATAAATTATAGTTTATTTGTGTAAGGGTTCATTCGTAAACGACGTCACACTCATAGGAGGGGGGGGGGTGGAATACAGAGTTTTGTGATCATGTGTGACGTAGTGGTTCCGAAAGTGTGACGACACATTTTTGCATTTTAAAAAGTGTTGTCTGAAAGTTTTTTTAATTTTATTTTCACATTTTAAAAAAATTTGCAGATTGTAACAATAATTGATCTATAAAGGCTACTCAATGAATGTTTACCAAGAAAAGTAATTATTTTAAAATCGCTGTTTTTAAAAAAAATCAAAAGTTGCAAATTTAAGGGGTGGGGTATACTGAGGTGTGACGTCATTTTGGGGTAGTCTGGCCTTTTGTGACGCCAAGCGACGATAGGAAAGGACGTCGTCTATGGAAGACCCTTAGCAGACGTCTAGTTTCGGGGGGGGGGGGGGGGGTAGACTTTCTTGGGGGGGGGGGGGCGTCGTCGTCGTCGTCCGTGTCCCCCCCCCCCCCCCCCCCGAAGAGATGCCTGGAAGAAACTCTGCGTCTAGGCCAATTGCTTTCCTTTGAGCGCTATGCCTTTTTGTCTACGAACACAAGCGAACATATCAACAAAGAAAAGTCAGCTGTTTGCAGAGACAAGAATGCTATGCTAATAGTGGTGACGGGATCGGGAATTTCCATAGATGCGCGTGAGGTGGAGACGGCGGCCATGTTTAAAACTGCACGTCTACGTGACGGAGCGAGGCGCTCTAGTGCTGTGTGTGGCTGTAGGCTAAACACACAGCACTGTTTATGATTCCAGTAAGGCGGGGGGGGGGGGGGGGCGCACTAAAAGAAAGCGAAAGTAGCCAGGAATGTTTTAGATTTTACTGCACATTCCAATCGGCCTATCTTTCTTAAAAGCTGCATACCATTAGAAAACATATTAGCTGTCGTATTTTAAGGGGGAAAATACAAATAATAATGATTGATAATTATTTACCTAATGACATACTGATTTAAGATGTTAAAAAGATCTCTAGAACCCGCTTCTTCTGAAATTAATACATAATCTTTGTGTTCAAACTAAAAATAAACCCATTAAATTGTAGCTCGCCCTAGCCATTCACAACATGATGTGCTAAAGTGTACATTTTAAAAATGTTAGAATCATTAATCATAGGCCTAATTGGTTCTCATGTTTACTAAACATTGGCTCATTACAGAATAGCATCGCCCAGTTTCTCTAATTAATTTGCGCCAGTAATTTAACACTTGATCTTTGCAAAAAAAAAAAAAAAAAAAGATAATAGTCTATTACTATTTATACCTGCAATGTAGCTTACAGTTTTCATATGGTGGGATAAGAGAAGGGGATGTCTTTTTTATTCGTGTATGGCCACTACATCTGACCCACAAAGGGGACACCATCACTATAGAAGGCCCTATCTGAATTAACAAGGGGACATCAGTCTGGCCGAGGAGATTTATAAATGGGAGCACGACAAGAGTTGAAAGGTCAAGAGGCAAGCAGAAGTCAATTGTTTGGACAAAGGACTTATTTATTTACCCACGTGCCGAAAATGTTTTGGCACGATGCTGTAAAGTTTGTCGTTTGTTTAATGTCTGAGCGAAACAAAAACATTCAAATGTGCTGATAATGATGTCCCTTTAATATAGAAATACTTTGCAAAATTTGAAATTGACAAATGACAAGAGTGTACTTTATCTGTTAGCTAAGATAACAGTTGTTTAGGGATTATGGGTTCTTGGAAGAAGAGGGGTTCTAATCCCTTTACAAAAAAAAAACAACAGCTTTACTTAACATAGAAAGGAACACTTGTTTTTAAAATGAGAACAGAAACGTTCTAACACAGAAATCAAGATGGTATCGATATATATATATATATATATATATATATATATATATATATATATATATATATATATATATATATATATATATATATATATATATATAATTTGAGACCAGCATCACGTTAACCAGCCCCCCCCCCCAGCACACGCGTGTGGCTTATCCACACTTAGCGTGGCTTATCCACACTTAGCGTGGCTCATCCACACTTAGCGTGGCGAACCCACTTGAGGTCCGGGCTGTGATACACTGAGGCGATTGTTCTGACTTGCTTCATGTACTTGACTATATCACACAACGACATGTGGACACTCTTGTTAACTTTTCATTTCAATGGATGCTGTTAAAGTCAGGGATACACACACACACGCATACACACATGCATACACACACACTGACATTTTTTAGATTACACACTGCAGCTCATATACATTCTTGTAAAAATTTATGTCACAGACTACATACATACTCTAGCCTCAATATATATATATATATATATATATATATATATATATATATATATATATATATATATATATATATATATATATATATATATATATATATATATATATATATATATATATATATATATATATGTGTGTGTGTGTGTGTAAATATATATGATCAGCGAGAAATTAGTTAAGATTTTAATTACGACATAAAACAAAGTCAAAACACTACTAATGCTACAGTGACTCACCTGAAAAAGCCCGAAGAAAACAAGGAATCCATACAAACGAAGAGCCTGCCTCTCCATGACGATTAACTCAAGCAAGTCCGATTTTTTAAAATGCTGTTTAGTCTGTTTTTTATTATGACTGTTCTATGTCATCAGCCGCGAGCTATCATTAAACACTCTCTCACTCTAAGTGTCATGACAACTCATAGTGAAATTAGACTGCTGTGACTGTAAGTGCACACTTATACAGACTTCAAAAATAAGTTCATTCTCTACACTAGTGTGGAAGCTTAAGCACCACACTATCAAAAATAAATTTAAATAAAATTAATATTAAAAATAGATTTTAATAAGTTTTAAATTTTAATGGGAAAAAAAAAAGATTTAACATCAGGCTAACCAAGCAATGTTGTATTGTGGAATAAAACAAATATAAAACTAAAATCAAACCAGACTTTTAAACTTTCTTGGTTCAGAAATCAAGTTTCTAAAACGAATTTTATTTTCAAAAGCGTAACGACATTTTTAAAAGTCTCTTTTCTACAAATGAAACTAAACTGACCATTAGTAAGATGTAAACATTTTTAACAAACAGTTCTACAATCTAATCCTAACGAAAGAAACACCAAAACACTGGCTGTACAAAAAAAAAATCACCCAAAGTTTCTGCGCAAAGCCTCACTTGCGCAAGCTCTTCGCAAGATGTACCTGGCCGGTCAACTGATCAGCAAACTCGGGGTTACTGCGCATGCTCGAGGTAGCGCGTAAGAGAAGAAAATAACCCAGCAAAAAAAAAACGACAACACTCCCTTCCCCCCCCCCCCCCCCCCCTCTCCATTTTACATACATTACTTAGTCATAGTCTACTACACTTCACACTCTCATATAATAATAATAATCAGACTAGTGCATGGATTTGTACTTTCCCTTTTAACTGGGCAAATGATTTTCCAGACGTACTTTAAAACTTGTAAATAAAATTTAAAAGGAGAAAAACAACTGTCACTTCTGTAATTCTTGATAAATTCTTGGTTTATCAGTTTATCAAGTTTAATTAGGCCAATAATATTTATTGATTTAAAAGAAAGCTTGAATTATATTTTCAGAAACTAGAAAATTCTACACGATGCACGCCCCATATAATTTTTCCCTGAGTGGGATGGGCAGGGGCCAGTGTCTGACTCGTGCCTGGCTATACAAAGTACATTCCTGGAGTACGTGCTCCGTATTTTCCGGGGCCTTGCCACAAGGGCACATTTCGCCACACCCAACCTTCAGTTTTCTGAATCTGACCATCTTTGTTTTAGAGTCTAGATGTGTTGGGGATCTTTGATAAAATTATATTTGTAGAAAAGCTCTTCAGTCAAAAAAAGGGAGAATTCGGCTTCCGGCTGAAAGAAATATAGCAATACGTTGGAGTTCTATATTATGGAAAAGTACAGAAAGGTTTTAGTTAACACCCCGTACTATATCTACTGTAGCCCCAAAAGTTGGAGTAAACTTCCTGTACTATATACCTACTCTAGCCTCAAAAGTTGGAGTTAACCCACCGTACTATATCTAAATAGCCCCAAAAGAGTGAGTTACCTCCCTGCACTATATACCTACTCTAGCCTCAAAAGTTGGAGTTAACTCACCGTACTATATCTACAGTAGCTCCAAAAGAGAGAGTTACCTCCCTGTATTATATCTACAATAGCCACACAAGTTTGAGTTAACTTCCTGTACTATATCTACTGTAGCCTTAAAAATTGGAGTAAACTTCCTGTACTATATACCTACTCTAGCCTCAAAAGTTTGAGTTAACTCACCGTAATATATATACAGTAGCCCCAAACGAGTGAGTTACCTCCCTGTATTATATCTACTCTAGCCCCAAAAGTTGGAGTTAACTCCCTGTACTATATATCTACTCTAGCCCAAACCAAAATAAACTTGTGTTGATACCCCCACAGACAATCTGGCATCGAGCCACGGACTATTTCACCCAACGTCATAGATCATATGTTTATGTGAGCCGTGCTTACATACAGTTTCACTAAAAAGGTTACTGAGATCAATAACAGGACATACGGTACGTCTAAAGTTTACTGTTACAGTAGCTTATGTTTTTTTCCAGCTATTTTTATTAAAGGGTTTAAAAAATCAGGGGGGTGGGGGTCATTTAAACATTCGATATGCGGTAAAGTGGGGTGGGGGGGAGGGGCATATTTCAATTCAAGAGGAAGTTCTTATACAAATTATAAAAAGTTTATATACGAGGGAAGGGAAAGAAACGTAGCGGGAGGGGGGGGGGATAATATTTGTTAGGCGTGCTGTAAACGTATATTTTAACTAGTTTAAACCGATAACTCTAGCACCATATATTTGATAAAATATCATTCTTTCTTTAAAAAACTGTACTCAACATTTAATTCTTGCACAACTTTTATTTTCTTTTAACTGTCGAACTTACACTTTCATGTTTTAAAGGACTAGAATAACTTGGTCTTAGTTCGTCTTATACAACACACATCACGTGCACACCATCCATGTGCTAGGCAGGGCGAACGTAAAGGAAAACACGTGAACACATTTTCAAAGGGGAGCGGTGTGGGCGGGTGTATATTCGACGGAAAAAACATTTCTTGAGCCCTCCCTCCCCCCCCCCCCCCTTGCCAAGCATGCAAGCAGTGACCTTCAGCTCCGTTTAATTATCCCCATTCCATTTTCTTTAATCGAGATTTTTGTGTTTAGGTGCTAACTTAGCGTAACAATTCTGTTTACAATAATTGTCAACAGCTATTGTAATCAGTTATTGTTTACAATATTTCTCTCTTACGTCTCGATTCTTCCATCTATATTATGATTGGTATTGGTGTGTGTTGGGGGGGGGGGGCGGGATGGGGGGGGGGGGATTGAGGAGGGGGAATTAGTCTAAATCCAATACTAGGGTGGACTAAGTCAAGTTTATTTAGCCCATATGCCATATCATTCAAGGGAACTGTATAGTCAGACAGAACACTGCCAGCATCTTTCATTTCTCTAATATTAAATGTTGGGTACTGATTTTAAGCCGGGTGAGCTCAGCGTCGTCAGAGAGATAAAAGATTGGTCGCATGTGGCGGACCTGTTTGATCTTGAAACCGACGTCACGCTGTCTTTACAAGAACAAGGCTACAAAGACAAAGTTACTGAAGTGTAAGGGGTTTTTATATAAAATATTTGAAGCAAGAGACTTACGAAGATAGTCGGGCCCATTTACCCAGCATCCGACAATGTCTTGATGTTGTGGTCCTATATGTCAATGTCTTGATGTTGTGATCCTATATGTCAATGTCTTGATGTTGTGGTCCTATAAGTCAATGTCTTGATGTTGTGGTCCTATATGTCAATGTCTTGATGTTGTGGTCCTATATGTCAATGTCTTGATGTTGTGGTCCTATATGTCAATGTCTTGATGTTGTGGTCCTATATGTCAATGTCTTGATGTTGTGGTCCTATATGTCAATGTCTTGATGTTGTGGTCCTATATTTCAATGTCTTGATGTTGTGATCCTACATGTCAATGTCTTGATGTTGTGGTCCTATGTTATATGTCAATGTCTTGATGTTGTGGTCCTATGTTATATGTCCATGTCTTGATGTTGTGGTCCTATGTTATATGTCAATGTCTTGATGTTGTGGTCCTATGTTATATGTCAATGTCTTGATGTTGTGGTCATATGTTATATGTCAATGTCTTGATGTTGTGGTCCTACAAGTCAATGTTTTGATGTTGTGGTCCTATGTTATATGTTGTCTTGATGTTGTGGTCGTATGTTATATGTCAATGTATTGATGTTGTGGTCCTATGTTATATGTCAATGTCATGATGTTGTGGTCCTATGTTATATGTCAATGTCTTGATGTTGTAGTCCTATGTTATATGTCAATGTCTTGATGTTGTGGTCCTATATGTCAATGTCTTTATGTTGTGATCCTATATGTCAATGTTTTGATGTTGTGGTCCTATGTTATATGTCAATGTCTTCATGTTGTGGTCCTATGTTATATTTCAATGTCTTGATGTTGTGGTCCTACAAGTCAATGTTTTGATGTTGTGGTCCTTTATGTCAATGTCTTGATGTTGTGGTCCTATGTTATATGTCCATGTCTTGATGTTGTGGTCCTATATGTCAATGTCTTGATGTTGTGGTCTTATATGTCAATGTCTTGATGTTGTGGTCCTATGTTATATGTCAATTTCTTGATGTTGTGGTCCTATGTTATATGTCAATGTCTTGATGTTGTGGTCCTATGTTATATGTCAATGTCTTGATGTTGTGGTCCTATGTTATATGTCAATGTCTTGATGTTGTGGTCCTATATGTCAATGTCTTCATGTTGTGGTCCTATGTTATATGTCAATTTCTTGATGTTGTGGTCCTATGTTATATGTCCATGTCTTGATGTTGTGGTCCTATGTTATGTGTCAATGTCTTGATGTTGTGGTCCTATATTTCAATGTCTTGATGTTGTGGTCCTATATGTCAATGTCTTGATGTTGTGGTCCTATGTTATATGGCAATGTCTTGATGTTGTGGTCATATGTTATATGTCAATATCATGAGGGATTGACCCTTATATTATATCTTGGTGCCTTGATATGACGATCTTCATATTATATTTATTACTGACTAACCAACGTTTAGTCAATGACATATTTTCTATTTTGCAAAACACATGTTTGAGTTTATTTTGACAAACCAATTCTCCCACATCGCAGATCTAGATTGAACGAATACATTTAAAGGGACGCAACCCACATAATAAATTCACATGTAAAAGTTAAGAGTTGCTGTTCCTTGCACAAGGCGCTGTTATACAGCTGTTGGTAGAAAGAGTTGTCTGATTATTGCGCGCTTTTAAGTGGTATTTAGTCTCTTTTTAGGGAGAATTGTTGTTTTTTATACTATTAAATGACAGTAAGAACACAAATCCACATCTACAAAAGAGAAAAAATGATAATTTATATGGAAAACTAGTGTGGTTGTTGAAAAATGTCTGAAAGAAACCCTCCTTGATTTTCAAATAAACCCCTGTATTTTTATTGTTAATTCCACTCAATAAAATACCAACTGTCAATCAACGAGAAAGAACCCTAAAGTTTTTTAACATGCACTTGGGTTTAGATGGGTATTTGATTTGCAAGCAGAGTTCTTCCAGACTTTTTCTCCCGGGGGGGGGGGGGGGAATGCACTTGATATTTTCTGGGGGGCGGTCAACATTTTCTGGGGGGGGGGGGGGGGGGGCGGACACTAGTAAAAGTATATGTTTGCTATATAAATTCCATCTCGTTTGGGGGGAGGGGGGCAGTAGACTTTTTTCGGAAGAGATGCCTGGAAGAAACTCAGTTTGCAAATCAAAACAGTTTTCTAATGTAGAAAACAAAACAATCAGACAACATATTCAAAGCAAGGGGGGGGGGGGAATTCTACTCTTCTACTCAGTTTTAAAAGATGTCTTATAGTGATTGAAAATATTTTCATTAATTTTATAAATTTGACATTTTTTTTAAATGAAAAGTGGAGTTAATATATTTTAATTTAACCAGCTTTTTTTTGAAAATCTATTTTACAACCTAATCTAAGTATTTTTAAATTATGTGTTTACATGAATTTGAAAAACTCTAAACAATTCAGCAAACTCAAATTTAGCTACTGTATATTTATTTCAATATTAAAAGGTTTTACAAATATTTTCATGTCAAAAGTCTAAAAAGTGTTAAATAAGCCTATATATTGACTGCAAATTAAGACATAAAAGAAGCTAAACTTTATTAAACAAACGTCCACAAAAAAATTTCAATTTTAGCCACTGCATGGCTTTTCTCTTTGCTGAAATACATAAGATAAGAATTTTTCTGAAATTAATGTTCGTTTGATGGCTTTTCCCTGTGATGGATTTCTCTTGTTATGATTACCCTTGTGATGGTTCTTCCAGTTTCTTTCATCATCTGTTTTTCCACTCTACAGTAAAGGAAAAATACTGACACATTTAATACTACTTCATTCAAAATATTTCTTGCTTAATGCTAAAATGTTAATATTATTTAATTGAAATCCTTTAATAGTATATTTATTTTTCTATTAGTACCGACAGCATAACTTTAATTAAGATTTCATATAGCCTATATATATATATATATATATATATATATATATATATATATATATATATATATATATATATATATATATATATATATATATATATATATATATATATATATATATATATATATATATATATATATATTATATATTTATATATATATATAATATATTATATATTAGGCCTATATATATATATATATATATATATATATATATATATATATATATATATATATATATATATATATATATATATATATATATATATATATATATATATATATATATATATATATAGGCCTAATATATAATATATTATATATGTATAAATATATATAATATAGATATATATTTATATATATATAGGCACATATTAATATGATTGTATAAATATATATAAGCATATAAGCATATATATTACTAGTGTATAGTTACAAACACTAGTAATTGGTAACAACGTTATCTAACTTTAATAATTTATAATTTCCTTTATCATTTTTATTTTTTTATTTTTTGCAAATGTTTTACTGAAGGAGCATTAGTGCTCTTGGTGCTTGGAATTACCCAGGAAGTTGAGTCTGTTAAACCTGGTCTAGTGGTTGGTGGTGGTGTAGTTATAGAACTGTTTTGTTTCACAGTGGTTGTTAAGTTCACTTTATCTGAGGAAAAGTTCAGAATTTAGTTTTTAAAATTATATTAAAACATTTTTAATGTAGAGATAATTTTAATAAGATT